TCAGCATGACGATCTCCAGTTCCATCCATTTTCCTGCAAATGACAACATTTCATTCTTCTTTATGGCTGAATAATACTCCATTGTGTATCTTTCCACTTTTGTGATTTTAGAACTTTCACATAAATACAAAGTTAAGAGAAGAAGGAGGAGGAGGAGAGTGAGGAGGGAGAGGAAGAGGGGGAGGGGACGGGGAAAAGAGAGGGGAGGAGGAGCACTTGGGTAAATGCTGGCGCTGTTTACCTTAATGAGACAGAAAATGGAGAGAGGAGTGGGCTGGGGATGGGAGCTGGAATCAGGAGCTGTGTATGGTCCAGGCTCTATGTGGCTTGCTTCTGTCTCACGGCAGAAGCAGAGGCCTCTGGGACTTTGGAACAAGGCTTGCACCCTTCCTCAGACTCAAGTCTCCCCTTGAGAAGGGTTTAGGATGAATACCTGCCTCCATGTTGGCTCTGAAAGAGGCTGAACACAGGGACAAGAGACATCAGGAGACCAGAGACAGGAGCTGTTCACCAAACACCAATACACATGGTGATGTGGAAGGGGGTGCAGGACCCTGTATTGGTGATCGATTGCAAGTAATAAATATGTTATGGCCTAAAACAACAAGGATTTGTTGCTGGATGTTGGTCGCTCATGCCTATAATCCTAGCTATTCAGGAGGATCGAGGTTCGAAGCCAGCCCAGGCTAATAGTTCCACTACACCCTATCTCGAAAAACCCTTCACAAAAATAGAGCTGATGGAGTGGCTCAAGGTGAAGGCCAAGTTCAAGGCCCAGTACTACCCAGTAAGAGTGCCTTCCTACTACTAAGTGTGAGTTCAAACCCCAGTGCTGCCAAAAAAAAAAAAAAAAAAAGGGTTTCTTTCTTGTTTCTCACCATTCTGGAGGTCAGGAATTTGGGCTGGGATTGGCTTGGTAGTCCATTGGCTGGTCTCACCTGGAGTCCTAATGAGGCTGTGGTCATCTGTGGCTTGCCTGGGACTGAAGTGTCCAAGAGGACCTCAGTCCCTTGTCTGACAGCTAATGCTGGCTCTTGGCTGGGGGCCTCAGTTCTCCACTTGGCTTTGAGTTTACCAGTTTAGGCTGGTGTCTTCCCAGCTTGGTTCTTAGAGGGAGAAGGTGGAAGCTTTGGGGCCTTTTGAGACTCAGCCTTAGAAATTGCCCAGTGTCCTCTCCACCACTTCTTGTAGTGAGACCAACCCGGATGTAAAGAGCAGGCTAATAGACCCCCACCTCATAAGAAGAGGAGTTACAAACCATCTGAGGCCATATTTAACTTACCACAGGCCTATAGGTCCCAACAAATGTCACTCTATCCCCAGTAGGCCCACATCTGACATGTCACCACCATCGTCCCTCAGGCCAGCATCATCAATGGGTTAATATTCGTTTTGCAGACTTCTCTATAGATGTCAATCAGTGAGGAACGCTGAGTTTGGTGATTGCAGTTTTGGGGACAGCCAGCATTATATCTTCCATCCCACACGTGATTCTTACAATGTGACATTGACCAGCCTCCTTTGAAAGGTGGGGATATTACGTTCCCTGACTTTGAATCTGAATGAGCCTTCCTAATAATTGACCGATGACAAGAAACAGAAGCAAAGCTGTGTGATTTTGAGTCTGGGTCATAAAGAAGGGTAGGGTTTCTACCCTCCGGGGACAGTTATCCTTGGAACAAGTACACTGTCCATGGAGCTGAACCACTGAACTATGAGGAAGCCCAGGTTACACAGAGAGGCCCCAGTGGGCATTCCACCCAATCGCCCTCATTAGGGCCTCAGCCGGCACCACAAGCCACACTAGTGAAGGAGCACTCCAAATCTTCCACCAGAGGCGCTCCATGTTGTACAGCAGAGACAGGCCATTGTCATTGTGCCTTGTCTGAATTCCAATTCAGAAGAGAGCATGAACCTCTTTGCTGTTGTAGGCCACTGTGTTTAGGATAATTTGTTATACAGCAGCAAATAAAGGCTGAGAGATGAGGGGGATAAAAGCAACTTAAATCAACTAACATTTTACTTCTTTCTTTCTTTCTTTGGCAGTACTGGGGTTTGAACTCAGGGCCTCACGCTTGCTAGGCAGGTGCTCTGCCACTTGAGCCATTCCACCAGCCCTGTTTTTGTGTTGGGTGTTTTTGAGATAGGGTCTCACGAACTATTTGTCTGGGGCTGGATTCAAACCATGATCCTCCTGATCTCTGCCTCCTGAGTAGCTAAGATTACAGGCATGAGTCACTGGTACCCTGCTTGCTTCTTTCTTATTAAAATCTGGAAGTCAGCAAACGAGGGGGTGATACGGAAGCTCCCATGGTGTCATCAGAAGTCCAAGATTATTATTTTTTTTTTTGATTGTACTGGGGTTTGAACTCAGGACCATTGCACTTGCTAGGCAGGCACTCTATTGCTTGAGCCACACCTCCTGCCCTCCACGATCTTTTATATTGTTGCTCTCTTCTTCCTCAGCACATGGCTACAATTTTCAAGTTTGTTTCCTGATTCAAGATAGCTGCTGGAGTTCCAGCTATCATATATGCATCTCAGGGTGAATGGAGAGTGAAGCAGAGAAGACAGCATGGCCTGCACCAATATTGTTTCTTTTTCAAAATTCAATATTGCAAATGCCTTCCAACACTTCCATTTATTTCTCAAATCCTAGAGTTAAATCACATAGTGACACTGTATATGCAAGAGGGGCCAGAAGTATTGCCTTTTAGCTGGACTCAATGCTGGCTGAAGTAAAATGGAGGTTCTGTTATTGAGGTAGGAAGGAGAACAGCCCGTGGGCAGTGGGTGGCTATGGTGTTGAAGCAGAATGATGGAAGATGAAGACTTTGCCAGTGGGGAGGAGCGGGAACCAGCACATTGGCTCTGTTGCCCACTACAGCCTTCTCAAATGCTCGGGCACCACGGGGTTTTCCATTTAACGTTACTTCAGAGCAAAGAACTGATTTTCCTGGCAAAGAACTGGGGCTGTGGGCTGGTGCACAGGGAGCGCTCCAATCTCCAGCGCCACCCTCCCACATGGCCTTTCGCTAAATATCCAAACAACGCAGCTCTGGCCTCTTGACTTCCCTCCTCAGCCACCTTCCATGGCTCTGGCTGACCCAAGTTTATTTTTTAAAATTAATTAATTAATTAATTTTGCGATACTGAGGCCTGAACTCAGGGCCTACACCTTGAACCACTCCACTAGCCCTTTTTTGTGATGAGTTTTTTCAAGATAGGGTCTCAAGAACTGTGCCTGGGCTGGCTTTGAACTGCAATCCCTCTGATCTCTGCCTCCTAAGTAGCTGGGATTACAGCGTGAGCCACCGGTGCTATGCTTGCCCAAGTTTAAAGATAGGTTCTAGAGTTTGGTCTGAAACAATGGTTCTTTGCCTCTACTACCTCATCACACCTTCTTCATGCCCTGTGCCCAGGCCTTTGGTCAAGCAGCATCCACTGCCCAGAAATCCCTCTGCCATGACTTCCTCAGGGAATGCCACTACACTTAGGGTGGACTATCGCCAGACTTCGTGGCACCTGTGGGGGAGTTAGAAAAGGGTGTCCTTTCTTCATGTAGATGCAGTTCCACATCAGGGCTTGCCCCTCGGCCCGTTGCTCTTGCACAGTAAGCATCCTGAACTGAAGATGCCACTCCCCCAGGCACATTTCTTTTCCTTCTTTCCCTCCCTCCCTCTCTCCTCCCTCCTACCTTTCTTTCCTGCCCTTTTTGTGGCACTGGGGTTTGAACTCAGGGCCTCTCGCTTGCTAGGCAGGCGCTCTTACTGTTTGAGCCACTCTGCCAGTCCTGGGCACCTGTCTGAATTCCCTCCCTGAGGTCCTTCCTTTGCTCCTTGTTCTTTCTTTGGCTCCCACCCTGCCTAACCCTGACTAGGGGGCTGACGGTTTCCAACTTGTGTCCCCCAACCTGCTCAGTACCCATTCCCCCAGACTGATAACGTTAATCCATGGGGAAACGAATTTGAGCCACAGGCCACAGATCTTTCTCCCCACTATGGGGACAAGACTCTGCTCTCTTAGTCCTCTTCCCATCCTGTAGCAGATTGGAATCCCACATTGGGCTGGAAGAAGGGCCTTAGAAGGGATCTAGGCTGGGACACTGGGGCTGAGTGGATCAGCTGCTCAGGGCATCTCAAAACTGAGTCTCAGGGCTGAGGGTGGAGCTCGGTGGAGCTCGGTGGAGGAGTGCTTGCCTACCTTGCATGAGGCCCGGTTCCATACTCAACACTAGCAAAAAACCCCAAAAAACAACAAAAAGCCCAAGCCAAACCCCAGAGGCCCTGGACTAGGCAGGGAGGGTCTCTCTGCTCTTGCTTTGCTCCTGGGAAGGTTGAAGCCCACCTCTGGGTCTCCTCCCAGAACCCAACATTGTACCTTGACCCCTCGTGGCCCCTCATGCCCACAGTGATGGTTTCAGACCCACCACTCAGGAATGCACGTAAGAAGTCCTTCCGTTTCATGGTTTTATTTAATCTGCATCTTCTCTGCCTCCTCCCTCCCCTGCCAGCCCCTGAGAAGGGGTGGAAGCCCCAGTTGGAAGGGAAGGGACTATTCTCCCGGGGGAGGGATGGTGTCCCCTGGCCAGGTTCCATTGATGGGAGAAGCAGAGGCCTCCAGGGCAAGGCAAGGGCATCGTCCAAGAGGCCATGACCAGGGCCGGGCCCCTCAGATGTCCTGTGGCCCTGCATCCTGTGGATCATCAGGATGGTGAAGAGCAGAGAAGCCTGAGGGAGAGGTGGGGACAAGCCAGGGTATGTGCATGTGGCTAACAGAGGCAGACATGGACACTGTGAGGCAGAAGCAGAGACCAGAGGATGTGCTGGGACCCTGAGTGGGAACCCAGGGTCTTGGGGGAGCTGGATGTGGAGAGGTGCAGTGAGCATCAGGGAGAACAGTGCAGGTGAGGAGGACAAGGCTGTGCTCGGAGAACCAGGCTCCATTGGATGGACCCATGCCACAGGGTCAGACCAGGGACTGGCCAGAGGGCCATGGGAGAGGGACCCAGCAGGGGAGGAAGAGGGGAACTTTGGGCAGTGATGGGGCCAAGCCTGGTGCTCCCATAGCCAGCTCTTCAGCTTCAGGGAGGCCAGCCCTGCTGGGCACAGCCCCAAACTGCCAGTTTGTGCTTCTGGGTTGCTCCGATGTGGCCTCAGCCATGACGGGGAGGAGCTCACAGGTAGCCCTTGGCTGCAGGCAACAGCTGTCCCCAGGACTCCTCCCCACCCCAGTCTTTCTGGAAGCTTCCTCCCCTGCCAACTGTGAAAGGCTCCAAGCCAGATCATCTACCATCACAGTGGGTGGAATGTGGTGGTGGGGGGGGAAGCCATGCTGGGGACGGATCATGGACTCAATTTAGGTGGTGTCCACTTCCCCTCAAAATGACAAGAAGTCAGGCATTTTAGCCTAAGGACCCCACCCCATCCCCACCCCTTGTGCATGGCTGGCCTGTTTTCCCTTCTGTTTTGGACAATTGCTCAGGCATCTAAGGACGGTGAGGAGGGGGCTGCCCTGGGGCCGTAGCGGTCTCAGAGTGCACCCTGCCCATCCCCCCGGCAGCCGCTGTCCCCGTGAACGATGAGCACCGGGAAGTAAAGGGCATCCTCGTAGCACGGAGGGCTTTCCAGGGGCTCCGTGTCCTCTCCACGGCGCCCCAACGGCCCCCCGCTCAGGCTGCGGAAGACCCCGGGCGTGGCGCGGCCCCCAGCGCCTAGCGACAGGCGGCTGCGGCTGAAGGGCAGGCGGGGCCCGCTGGGCCGGGCGGGGGGCAGCGAGTTGCTGCTGACCGAACGACGGCAGCGCTGGCAGCCGCGCAGGTAGGCGCCGGAGCCCGCGCCCATCACCACTGCCTCCGAGTAGCTGGGCACCAGCTGCCGATTGGAGCAGATGTGCCACTCGAGCTCGGTGAAGTCCACTGTGGCCACGCGGGACAGCGGTGGCCCGCTGGGCACAGCCCCCGGAGGCGGCGAGCTGGCTCCGAAAAGCTTCTCCACCTGGTAGTGCACGTGGGCTGTGCCATAGGCTGCCACGACACGCAGTGGCCAGGACAGCGTGGCCGCCGACACGAGCCAGAAGACCCAGGCACGGGCGTACCAGGGCGGGCTGCGGGGGTCAGCGAAGACCATGAGGGACTCGCGGAAGTCCACGTCCTTCAGGTGCATGCCCTCGCGGGCCTCCAGGTAGTCGTCCAGGCCCTCGTTGGCGCCGAAGAAGCGGGCCCGCTGCGTGAGGTACGACGCCTCGGCCTCCGCGCTGCCAAAGCTGAAGCACTTGGTGAAGCGCAGCCGCGTGGCCGCGTGGTCAGCCAGGCCCACGAGCTCCTTGGAGACGTCGCGGACGCCGTGAGCCGAGTAGTCAAACTCGCCCCGGGCGGTGCGGCTGTCGGCCCTCTCGTGATAGACCTGCGTGGTGGTGTAGGCGTCGCCGTTGCGGTAGCGGGTGATCTGGCGCGTGCGGCGCACGTAGTGGTAGCTGGTGGCCTTCCACCAGACGCAGGGCGGGGCCTGCTGCAGGCGGCGGATCAGGGCGAGCACGGTGTTGGCATCAGTGCGAGGTGCCTGGCATGACCGCACGTGGCAGTGCCAGCACTCGGCCAGGTAGAGGAGGTAGAGGAGGGAGACAAAGGCCAGCGGGATATACAGGTAGCCATCCGAGCAGGGGCTGGCCGGATAGGTAGGCGGTGGGCCACCAGCCCCACGGGCCAAGGCTGCCTCAGGCCCAAGGACCAGCCGTGGCACCGTGGCCAGGCGACACCAGGCCACCACAGCCCCGCAGGCATGGATGAGCAATGTGAGCAGCAGGCACTTCCAGTGCGACTCTCGGCACAGGGAGCTTCCCAGGGACTGCTTCAAGGGTCGTTGCTGCAGGGTGGCAGAGACAGGGGAAGCACTGGTCAGGACAGTGGTCAGGACAGGGCCACCAGGGGTATGGGCCACTCTGCTTAATCCCAGTGAAGGAGGTAGTGCCCTGGGTCCCACTTTACAGAGGAGGAAACTGAATCGAGGGATTGATTCACAAATTTCCAGCCAGCTCACAGTGTTGCTGCAAGATTCAAACCCAGGCCCACCTACCCTGAGCCTGCCCTCCATTGTGCTCTGCTGCCTCTAGGACACAACAGACCCATTCCTGCCAGGAGAAGACAGGGCCCCCATGCTGGCTACTCAGAAGTCTGACTTTGTGGTCCCTGATTACCTGTGTGAACTTGAACATTTCCCTGCCCTCCCTGGGCCTAGTTTCCTGGTTCTGGTGGCCTGGGAGGCGGGGATGGCTGGGGCCCAAGGATTGAACAGCATGGGCTTTAAGGAGAGCAGCTGCCCAGGATCTGTTGCTGGCTCTGATCCACCACTTACGGTGACTTGGGCAGGTCCCTCATCCTCTCGGGACTCGATTTCCTCATCTGTACTCTGGGTTGTTGTGAGGATTCATCGAGATCATATGTGGGAAGATCTTAGCACAGGGTCTGGCCATGGGAATAAACACTATTACTGTTACCTGTGACTCCCACTGGTCCCTTGTTCCGCTAGGGACAGCAGGAGACTTGGGAGAGGCTGTGAAGTCAGTAGGAAAGAGGAAGAACTGGAGCGGGGGAGGTGTGAGCCTTGGGGTGGACAGCAGATGGAGGGTGGCCCTCTACTCCCCATCTGTGCTGAGGGAGGGGGCAGGACACACAGCTGCTGGGCAGCAAGAGCCACTCCCTGACCCAGGGGGCTTGGCACACCCACCATGGCAGGGCTGCCAACCTGGCTACCTCACCCCAAGGTGTCCATGGAGAGAGAAAAGAATGGGAGGGAGTCAGGAGAGGAAGGGTAAAGTGGGAGAGAAGAGGTAGACACTAGGTTAAGGGGCCGTATACCTACCTCTGACAGGCTCAAGAAGAGAGGGACCTCTCTCAGCTCCACCCAGGGCACCCAACTCCCTACATTCAGCATCCTAACCCTCACAGCCTGTCAGGTGCACAGACCCACTCATCGCACCCAGCACATGTCCATCACAGATCCACCCACCAGGGAGCAACACTCCGCCTGGTCATCCGAGAAACACCAAGCACACCACAGCAATGTGCACCCCCCCACCCACCCCAGGTCCCCTCCACCACAGGACATACACTTGCATCTCCATATTCTATCCCCTGAAGCCCCCAGACACACCAGACCCTCACCTGACCAGCACACATCCCTCCAGGCTTACAGCAACCTCCATCCACATCCACACCCCACCCCGTCCCAGAAAGACACACCCCTGACAGGACACACTCATGCACACACATGCCACAGGGTGAAGACCCAAACCAAGGGACCTGCCAGACCCTCACCTGACTCCAGGGCATATATTCCCATCCAACGTGCTGTGGGCCCTCCCTCTCTCTCTCTCTCTCTCTCTCTCTCTCTCTCACACACACACACACACACACACACACACACACAGGCCCACTCACCACCCCATTCCCCAGAATACCACAGAGTCCCACAGCCCTGCAGATCCTCCTAGCTAGGGATGAGGAGGGGTCGTCCTAGGGATCCCAGAGTCCAAGTGAGCCCTCATTCCTCACCTGGGGGAAAACAAGTGTATGGAAGCTGTTTCCTTCTCTTTCCTCTCCTCCCTCCCCCACCCCCGGCCCCGCCACCGCTGCTGCATTGCAGGCACCGCCCGCACCGCACCTCGTGAGCGGCTGGGCCGGGCTGGGGATTCGACCCGTGGTCCTGGTGGTGGGGGGCAGCATCCTGGAATGGGGAAGTGTGGGGGCCAGGCGCTGACGTCACACAACGGGAGAGGATGTTTGAGGGGGTTGGGAACGGGAGTCGCCCCCACATTCCTGCCCAGCGGCCCCACCCCTGCCCCACGCGGGCCCCGAAACCCCAGCCAGAATCAGGGCTCCCCAATGACGTCATTGCCGAAGGGGCTCCGGGACTTTCCTCCTCAGCCCCTCTCCGGGGCTCGCCCTCTCCCCTTGTCCCCATGCCCGGTTCCAGCGTTGCTCAGACCCCCGCCGGTACCTCCTCCCGCAGCGGCTCGCCGTCCGGGATGAGCGCGGGCACCTCCCCGCCGTCGCCACCGCCGCCCTCGGGCATGGTGTCCTGACTGCTCCGGCGGCCCGAGCCGGGGCCCGGGGCATGATAGGCGGGGAGCAGAGGACTGCGGTGCGGCCCCGTGGGGCGTCCGCTCGGCTCGGCGGCCGTGGAGGAGTGCGCCGAACCCCAGCCCGAGCGCGGCGGCGGCGGCGTTGGCGGTCGCGGTGCCCGGCGCCCCGCCCTCCGCTGACCCCGCCCCCGCGGCACCGGTGGCGCCGCCGGCCGCGCCTGGCACCGCGGGCGCCACCCCCCCCCAACTCCCCCAACCCCCGGCTCTGAGAAGCCGAGCCCGGGCAGCCGGACGCCTGGGTTCTCCCTGGCGCTGCGCTCCCCCTTGCGACCTTGGGCGAGTCCTTGCTCTATGGCGCCTGAGTTTCTCTGGCCGTGCAATGAGAAAGGGGAATCTCGTAGGTGTGAGGGCGCCCGTCGTGTCCCATTTGTAAGGAATAGGTCTAGAACTAAGGCCACCCAGTCCCCACCCCGAAGCCTCACATATTGGGGAAGTGGACAGTTACAGCCCAGAAGGGTGGGATGAACCTCACCCACTTAGCAGTGAGGCTGGGCTCTGTCCGCTCAGGGCAGGCAGGCTAGGGACACAGGGGACCCTAGACTACATGACCTTTGGCCAGCACACCACACCCCAACTCAGTTTTACCATTTGAGAAACGGGGTTGGAAAAATGTTGAATCCAGTTCAAAATCACACAAAAGGTTGTGCGGGGGTGTGGGATCTGCCCCGCTTCGGGTAGCCCCCTCCAAGTGCTGCCTCTTGGCTTTGGCTCTGGGCCTTGCCCCAAAGCTAGACAATCAGAGGGCAGAACTCTGGAGGGAGCTGCAATGCTGGGTGAGTTTGTATGTGTGTGTGTGCACTCGCGTGCAAAGGGCAACTCAAAGATCTTTGGTTAAATATACCCACCCATTTAAAGATGACATAACCGAGATACAGAAAGGAAAGCACTGGACCAGGATTTCCTTCACAGGAGTAAGGAGTGGAGAATGACACAAACCCCGTTTTCATGGGAACTACATCCAGGGCAATTTCTAACTGGACAGGCTCTGGCCTCCACCAGTCTCAGTTCCTCTGAGAAGCAAGAGATGAGCTGACTCTTAAAAGCTTCGGACTAGGCTTTAGTAAGTGGTCCTAAGGGGAAGGGTATCCCAGGTGGAGGGGATCTATGGGCAAAGGCACAGCGGTTGGACCACATGGGCTGAGTTTCAGGAGCAGGAACGTCATTTGGTGGACGGGACATTAAGTAGCTAATTAGCAGCAGGTTTCAGAGAGCCTGATTGAGCTTCTCTAGAAAGCGGTGCTTAGAGGTCTGTGAGAGGAAGACTGTCTCCAGGAAGGGTGGGAGTGGTCAGAACTTGGGTGGAGAGAAAGAAGGCCTGGAACTAGTAATGAGGCTTAAGGGGCCCTAACTTTGAGAAGATTACGGAACTGGCGATGACTCGGGAGTTTCTGCTTCAGTTTCAGGAGGTATATCAACACATCCCCGCTTCCAAATCGTCCACAACACCGGGGAGTCGATGCGATAGCTCCGGTACGGGATCCTGCCCCATCTATACCACCCAGTCTCTGGGACTTCGGATCCTTTGGGTCTTAGTTTTCCAGTGTGCATGTTGCGTGCGCGTGCGTGTGTGCATGCGCGCGCGCAGTGTGGATCGCTAGCCCAAGTCCTTCCAGCAAAAGCCCCCGCTGGTCTGCAGGACCGCGGATGCGGGAGGACATTTTCAGCACCAGATGACGGACAGCACCCGCTTAGAAAGGAGAGAGAGGCGGGATGAGGAGTCAGAATTCCGGTGGGGTTCTCGGCTGGGCTGTCACAGCTCTGCCCGGCCTCCCATTAACACCTCGCGGTGGGTCGGGGCTCTGCTCCAGGATTGGGTGAAATGGGAGAAGGGGAGGAAAGCAAGCAAGGAGAAGGAGGGGCAGGCGCCCGGAGGTCGGGGATTGGTCAGAGCCTGACCGTCCCATTCCTTCCTGGAGGACATCCCACTAGTGAAGCTTCGTGTCCTGATTGCGTCCGCCGAGTCCCCCTCCCGGTGTAGTCGTGGCAGGGCGAAAGTCAAGTGGCCCACTGCGCAGACACGGAAATAATTCACAGTAATTTCTCGCTTATTGGCTGCTCCCGCCACGAATTAGCAAGTCCTTATCCAATCTGAGAGCGTCTTGTAGCGCTCTACCTAACCCTCCCGGAAGTTGACTATTGTCGAATCAGCTTTGGCGAGGGCTCGCCCGTAGCCAATTAAAAGAGGGGAATGGGCAAACGGCACCACCGAAGAACCAATAGAAGGCTGCGGAGGGTGACGCCATGGACATGGCGGCCACAATCAGTCGGCTGGTGGACGTGTCGGGCTGCGGGGTAACTTTGGTCTGTGCCGGGGGAGAGGAGCAGCAGCCTAATTAGCATCTGTACCCAGGAGGCAGAGCATCCCGCCCTTGGGGAAGGCGAGCGTTGCGACTATGGCTTATCACTCGGGCTACGGAGCCCACGGTGCGTGAAGTGTGGGGCGGGCGGAGTGCGGCCGGGCGGATGGCAGCAAAGTCGGAGGCTCGGCCCACTCACCCAGAGGTAGAGGGGCCACCGTGACCGCCGCCCGGGGCGGGGTGGGGGAGTCACTCGGGTCCTGCTCCGCGAGACTGCAACACGTCCCAGACTTCACCCTTCCTGTGGAAGCACAGTTGGGATCCCCAGATCCGACCCGGGCTCAAACTGGGTCGGCCTCCAGAACTTCCTTTCGCTGTCATGACCCTGCCAGGGTCCCTTGCCATTGCCCAGGTAGCCAGGTGTTGCCTTTCCTTCCGTTGCTTATTTAGGAATGCCCTTCCAGTTATCTCCACCTAGCAAACTTGTACTCACTCTCCAGAGTTCTGTTCAAAGATCACTCCTTTCCCTTTGAGAGGCCCCCTGAAGCTCCCGATGGGCAGCCACTGCCAGTCATTCTTCCTTTGCCTCCGTATAGTAAAGGGTTTCTAGAAAAGGAACTCTCATCCAAGTTCTTTCTGAATTAGTCACCCCTCACCCAGCCTGGCTTTCCCTCACTGGTTGCTTGTGCCCCTGGACTCATGCATAACTGCTCTGCCAGGGGAAGGGGTAGGGGTTTGGGATTTTGCTTGGTATCTTTGTCATCTACTCTGGTATCTTCAAATTCACAGGTTCCAAGCACAGAGCCCGGGCAGCTCCAGATCCCCCGCCCCTCTTCGATGACACAAGTGGTGGTTATTCCACCCAGCCTGGGGGATACCCAGCCCCAGGAGCCGATGTGGCCTTCAGTGTCAACCACTTACTTGGGGACCCAATGGCCAACGTGGCTATGGCTTACGGCAGCTCCATCGCATCCCATGGGAAGGACATGGTGCACAAGGAGGTGTGGTCTGCCCGCAGGGAAGGGGTGGCAGAATTTCTAGCTAGGGCTGGGGTGTCAGGAGAGCCCACCTGATCCTCCCAGTGGTCCTCAGGGAAGGAGTACACAGAGGAGAATCGTGAGGCTCTGGGTGCGGCTTGCCCACAGCTTCCTCTCTCCTCTCCCAGCTGCACCGTTTTGTGTCTATGAACAAACTCAAGTATTTTTTCGCTGTGGACACAGCCTATGTGGCCAAGAAGCTAGGGCTGCTGGTCTTCCCCTATACTCACCAGGTGAGCTTCCCACCGGGTGAGCTGGCAGGCCTCCCTCATCCCTCCGTAATCTAGTCTCCAGACCTCAGTCTCCTTCCCTCCTTTTTTCTCCTGTGCTCTTGCTGACCTGGCCACCTCTGCCATTGCCAGAACTGGGACGTGCAATACAGTCGTGACATGCCTCTGCCCCCACGGCAAGACCTCAACGCCCCTGACCTCTATATCCCTAGTGAGTGTCTGACCTGGGCTGGGGGACATGGGGAAGGGGGAACTTGTACCTTGAGGCACGATCAGCATTAATCCAGCATCCGTTCCTGATGCTTTTTTGGTGTGGTGGTTGCTAGACACCAGGTAGACAGGGGAACAGTAAGGAACTTCCTGAATGTGCCTTCAGTGTCCACACAACACCCTTTTGTGACCTTCCTTTCCCTTAATTTGGACCATATCTTCTCCAGCCTAGAGCGCTGGACCTGCCACTTCCAGCTGGGGGACTTTAGGCTGGTTCTTGTGCCCTTCAGCAAATTAGGAATAACAGCTGCTACCTCAAAGGATAGTTGTGGAGATTCAGGGAGGTGATGTGTATGCAAAAAGATGATACCATCGTCAGTCCTTATTCTCCAAGGCTGCTGCAGCATCCTCTCCAGGAAGCCTGCTCTGACCCTCACAGCAAGTGATCACTCCTTTCTGGGAGTGCCTGTTCACATAGCATTTGTCAGGCTGCCCACACTGCTGTGGCTGGCTGCCTCTGCAGTGATTCTTCTCTGTCCTGTTGACTGCACAGGGCCAGTCTCGGTGAACACACTAAAGGAGGACAAGTGTGTCAGGAGCCATTCCAGAGAAGCGTCCAGGGAGGGCAGCCTACCTAGGTTCTTCCATCCTTCATTCCACGTCCCTCTCATAGCAACTGTGTAAGGCTAGCACTGGCATCCTCATGTTGTATGTTGAAGCCAAAGCTCAAGAGGTGGTAGAGCTGACTTACTGATGCCAGACACTGTGCCCTCTACTGGGCACATCAATCTGATGCCTCAAGGGAAGGGCAGAGGTCAGGACTGATGAGTTTAACTAGCTGCCAAAGCCCAGGTCCCACTAACTCCGAGCTCTTTTGAAAACTGTTCAGAGTTTAACTTGGAATTCTCTGCACTGTCAGGGGCCTGTAGCCAGTGCCAATGGCACATTTAGAGTTGCTGGCTGTGGGGAGGTCATTCCGTGGCCCTGAACTTCAGGGGCAGCCTGGGTTGTCCATTGAACCTGCTTTTTGGTCCCACAGGCCTGCCAGAAATCAGGTTGATACTTGTCTAGGGTGAGCAGTGGCCTGGGCCCATGGTGCTGTTTCTGAGACACAGCAGGAAGCTGTGATGAAGTTCCTAGCACAGGAGCAGGGGAGGAGATGGCTTGTGGTTCCTGGGAAGCAGGTCAGGTGGAGTTTAGTCAGGGAAAAGACCAGCCAAAAATGTGCATCCCAGGCAAGGAATTGAGTTGCTGGATGTGGAGGTTATGCCATGTTGGATATGCAGGGAGGGAAGTATGAGGGTAGCTGAGTAGTGTTGGTGGCCTTGAATACCTCTCGAGGGGGTTCTGGATGAGGAAGCCAGGCTAACTGCCTCCCTCTGACTCTGCAGCAATGGCCTTCATCACCTATGTGCTGCTGGCTGGGATGGCACTGGGCATTCAGAAAAGGTCAGTGCCAACCTCCTCCTTGCTTGTCTCCCTGCCTCTCTAGGGGATCTGTGCCAGACCCCAGCCTGCCCCCTCCTGCCCCCTGCCTCTCACCTTGCCCCTGCCACTGGATGGCTGGTTCTGACCTGCCCTTTCCCATGGCTACAGGTTTTCCCCAGAGGTCTTGGGCCTGTGTGCGAGCACAGCTCTTGTGTGGATGGTGATGGAGGTGCTAGCCCTGCTTCTGGGCCTCTACCTGGCCACTGTGCGCAGTGATCTGAGCACCTTCCACCTTCTGGCCTATAGCGGCTACAAATACGTGGGGTGAGTACCTGTGGGCTGGGCAGAGAGGGGCTTTAAGTAGGATTCTTTGGCCCTGCAGCCTTGAAGTATGACCCTAGACATGTCTCTGTGCCCTCTAAGCCTCCAGTTCTACTCTGTTAGAAGGTTAGCTGTTTCCAGCAGTCTCCCCAAGAACTGAGTGACCTTCAGGAGGTTGGGGATGTGTGACAGTCACCCTGGGAGCACAGGGGAAGAAAGGTTGTCTCAGATTCAGGTCCTTGGGCTGAGTCCTGGGCTTTGCAAATCCATGTTGAATCTGGGTACACCTGGGGAATAACTGATCGTGGTAGTAGCATCTAGGCTGGGCTCCAGGCTCTGGTGGGCAGGGCCAATCTTAGGCCTAGACTCTGGGGTCACTAGCCTACCTTCCCCCCTGCCCTCAGGATGATCCTCAGTGTGCTCACAGGGTTGCTATTCGGCAGTGATGGCTACTATGTGGCCCTGGCCTGGACTTCGTCTGCTCTCATGTACTTTATCGTGAGTCTGGGACTGCCCCTCCCACCTTCTCAGCTGGGTCAGAGCTGGGGACAAGCTGCCTTTCCCGGCCCAGCCTCAGCACTCCTTTCTTCTAGGTGCGCTCTTTGCGGACAGCAGCCCTGGGCCCTGATGGCATGGGGGGCCCAGCCCCTCGACAGCGTCTCCAGCTCTACCTGACTCTGGGAGCTGCAGCCTTCCAGCCCCTCATCATATACTGGCTGACCTTCCACCTGGTTCGGTGACCTGTGGTCCCAAATGGCACTGATTTTTCCATACATTGAAGAGTTGGTTTCCTTGACTTGGTTTGACCTTTGTTCCTGGGGCCTGAGGGGGAGCTGCAGACACCTCTGGGCCTCTGCAGTGCTCAGGGAACCTGGCTGTCTAGGAGGAGGGTGGGCCCAGGGAAAGCTTCCTGAAGGTAGTGACCATGATACTGCCTTGGAAGGCAGATGGAAGGGTTTCAGAGGCTGTTCTGGGCCCCCTCCCTGTCCAGCTTCTCCCGTGGCAACTTTCTGGCATATAATCAGTACTGTGGGAACATAAGGCAGTGAGCCTGAGTCCGGGGAAAGTGAGGATGGAAGGGGCAAGTGCTAGGGAGACCTGGGAGGCCTCTGGTCCATCTGAGGGGCTCCCACAGGGGTCTGTGGCTAGTGGGGTGAGACTAGCTGTGCTGGGGATTTAGCTCAGGCTTCCCCCTTCAGTCTCCCATCTCACCCCCATCTTTTCAAGCCTTTCAGGAGCAGAACTGGGGCCCATGTGTTTGCAGTAGTTTATTCATATTTTGTCACAAATGGCCGGGGAAGGGGTGCCGGACTCCTCCAGGCGACATAGAAAATAGGTCCAAGAGACAGGGCAGGTTGGGATTGGGGCAAGTAGAGACAGGGTTGGAGAGAGAGCCTGGGGAGGGGGGAGGGCAGACTAGGGGTGAGGCTGCCCCCATTGAGCCTGCTCATTCCCAGTGCTGGTGCCCCCCCACCTGCAGGGGGAGCCTCAGGGTGGGGGTTCAGGGGACAGCCCAGAATTTCCAGGGTCAAGCTCTGCCTGGTGGCAGGGCCCAAGTTTCCCCCGAAATGGACAAGGCTGGAAGTCCTGCCCTTCCAGGACTGACTGCCATGCCTGGCTGAGGACTGACAAGAGGAGCCCCTGCCCCTTTTTTAGAGCTCCGCCTGGCCCTAGTCTGAGGGGAAGGGCTCTGAAGGCGGGGGGTTCCCGCAGCAGCAGTTTGGGGAATGGAGAGGCTGGGGGCACCAGTGCCCCATTCCCTCCCCAGGGTTGAGGCCTCTGTGGCCGAGGGGCAGGGCTGGGGGTGCACAGGCGTCCGGTCCGTTCTGGGCTCACTCCCTGGCCGGTTTCCCCCTTAGAAACTCACCAACGTATAAACCATACTGTGGGAAGATAAGGCAGTGAGCCTAAGTCCTGAGCAAGCCCAGCCACCCACGCCCTGGGTTTTCCTCAGTCCTCAAGGGCAAAGGGCAGGGACTTGGGAATGGCAGCACGATGCCTGGGACACCCCTGGCCTGAGTTCTCTGACTGCTGTGTGAGGGCCTCACCTGTACAGGTAATAGAAGAAGGAGAGCAGGTAGAAGGCGAGTTTGCACCAGGACTCCTTCTGGCAGTAGTTGAGGATGTCAGCATTCATGATGGAGACGGCGTCATACATGACCTCAGAGCCATCCGCAGGACGGTGGAAGTACCTGGCGCAAGGGCATGGCCTGAGTGCCCATCACAGCCCCACCCTTATCCTGCCCCACCTCCATCTCAGCCTGCCCCAGGCAGCTGTTGCCCTCACCTCCAAAGGTGGTAGAAGAGGAGGGGTATGTTGAGGCCCAGGGTCACCCACTCTGCTGCACACAGAAACATCAGACAGAAGAGGCCATGGATGGAGTATTCCGGGACCACCAACTAGGGGAGCAAGGGTGAAAGATCAGTGGCTCGGTGCCAGAACAGATCCAGGCTTCAATGGCACAGAGGGAAGTTAGGCTTTGGTAGGTACCAACCCACCATGAACTCAGGACCCAAAAGGCTTCTGACCTCCCACGCCCTCCCAGGTGAGCAAGTGGATAGAACAGGCACGAAAAGGAAGGCCTGGCTCTGGGCCACAAAGAGAGTGGGCATCGCTAGCTGGGAGACGCCTGTACCCCCGCCCTGACACTGACCTTCCTCAGGAGGCAGCAGATGCGTTCGATGTTTTTTAAACGCTCACGCTGTAGGGGAAGGAAAGGGCTGTGATGGGGCAGGCGGAGGAGCAGGTGCCGTGGCACTCCCCCACCGCCTCGCACGTGGCCGCCAGGGGGCACCAGAGCAAGTCTCTGCGTCGGCAGCGCGGCAGGGAAGCTGCTGCACCATCCCCATGGCGACCGTCACCATGGAGGGGCCTTCACCCGCGTCTCCACGGCAACGGCCCAGAGACTGGCAATCGCTGCCCACCAGGAGGAACCCCAGCCCAGAGCTCGCGCCAGGTGTTTGCTGGGGGCGGGGACAGAGGAGAAGGGGCAGGGCTATCGGCTCCCTACGCTGCACCCGCGCCCTCCGAACTCCCACCCTCCGCCCGCCCACGACAGATGAAAAGACAGACGGACGGACACACCTCGGCACAGCACATGTATCACTTACTGCCCGCGCTGGGTTCCCCTGGTCAATGGGGTTCTTGAAGTCGGTCCGCAGCTCGTCAAAGGCTATGATCTGGGGGAGGGGCGTGTGGCCATCAGGGTTGGAAGAGCAGCTGCCGGTTTCCCGCACCCATCCTTCCATGGGATAGGAATTTATGTATGGGGACCTGCCCAGATGGAGCTTGTTGCAAAGCGGAGAAAACGAGGCCTAGGGAGGAGCAGGGCCTGGTCCAAGGTCACACAACAGTCTAGAATGGAATCCTTGTGTCCTGATCTCCAGTTTGGGCTCATGTCCACCACACCCCCTTCCCAAAGGTTCCAAGACATGGTCTTGTTTCTGCAGGGCCCTGTGCTGAGCACAGGAGCCCTACAGGCCCCGGTCTGTAAGGAGCTCCAGGTGGGGGGAGGAAAACTCAGAACTACATTCCAGGTGATCAGGGCTGTGGGGCACAGGCAGGACCCGTGTGGGGGTGATGGGTTCAAACTGACTGAGTAGGCGTTTGGTGAACAAATGGAAAAAAAGCAGTCCAAGCAGCAGGAATAGCAGATACAAAGGCGCAAAGTTTTGAAAGAACATTCAGAGCCAGGCACTGGTGGCTCACGCCTATAATCCTAACCGCTTGGGAGTCAGAGATTAGGAGGATTGAGGTTCAGTGCCAACCTGGGCAAAATAGTTTGCAAGACCTTATCACAAAAAAAACTCATCACAAAAAAGAGCTGGTGGAGTGGCTCAAGGTGTAGGCACTGAGTTCATGGGGCTGCAGCCTAAGTGTGAGGAGAGTGGGAAGCAGAGAATGGTATAAGATGGGGATGAAAAGGTCAGTAGGGCCAGACATAGCCCTGTAAGGCTAGACCAGGAGTTTGGAGTTTAAGATGAAAGAAATTGGGGAGCCGTTGAGGGCTATAAAACAGCAAAGTGGGGTGGTCTTGGGCACAAGCCGGCTAACAATCACAGCCAAGACATCCAGCCAGCAGACTTTATCAGCTCATTGAATGCTTGCAACAAACAACCCAAGGGCTTACGTGCTGGTATTGTTTTCATTTCTGTTTTGAGGACGAGGAAGCTGAGACGGAAGTTATGTGTCTTGTTTAATGCCACACAGCTAGTTAGAGGTAGGCAGGGATTCTGACCTCGTTAAAAGTACTAACCACTTTGTCATACTCAGGTCGGAACAGTGCGGGTGAGGGGACTGCTGTTGTCTGGGGAGGGGTTCGTGGTGGTCTGAGTGAGGAAGGTGGCAGTGGAAATGGAGAGGTACAGACAGATTCTAGAGCTCTTTGGAGCCAGGCTCCAAAGGGCTCATATGGTGGGGAGGTGAAGACAGAGGGACCCAAGGTGACTTCTGTCAGGGTATCTGGTGGATAGCAGTGTCCTCACGGGTTGGGGATTACTGAGGGAACAGATGTTTGAGGGGATGAAGGATGGCATGGACCAGGGAGGAGCAGGCAGGTGACCTGAGGGAGGCAGGTTGGCAGAGGAATCTGCTGGGGCCCCCACACTTCAGTGTCAGCCCTAGGATGAGGCAGCAGGCCCATCACCCCCAAGCATCCCAGACCCCAGACGGCTCCGAGAGAAAGAACATGGGCTTCCTGGAGGGAGCTGAGGCCATCTGGAACCCCTCCCCCAACTCCTCACTGACTCTGGGCAGCCACCCGCTGGTTATGCACAGCAACAGGGTCCAGCAGGGAGCGGAAGGGTGCCGTCTGTCTGCCCCTGAGCTGGCACCACCAGCAGGCGGCGGGTGTCACACCTCCCACCCTTTAGGCTGCCTGGTGCTGACTCAGCCCCCCCCCCAACAAACAATCCCCCATGGTGACAGCTGACATACGTCACTCACCACCAGGGTTGCCTAGCGACCAGTGGGCCCTGAGCTCAGGGTTTGGGGTGGAATCTGGGGTCCTGCCCCAGAAGGTTCTAGTTCTTACCAGCTTTGGATTGAGGACTACGTCTTCTGTTCCCCATCCCCCTTAGCAGACTTCACTCTGGGCACTGGTGTCTATAAGCCCACTTTACCAGATGAGGAAGCAGGCTCGAGATGAGTGACTTGCTAACATCACCCAGCTAGAGGCTGAGTGAAAGCAGTGCATCACACATAGTAGGTGCTCCACAAATGTTTGCTGAGTGAACAAAGGTGTTACTCCACAGCTCAAGCCCTTGCTCTCAGTCTGGGCATTCCACAAGGGCAAAGTCTGGACCTTAGGTACCCTTGACTCCCTCAAAACCACTCAGGGGCCATATCTACACAGGTGGGCTGAGTGGGGGGCTTTTCTGAGAATCCTTTGAGGCCAGGGACCCCCTTGGGGAACATGAGGACCTCTGAATGGAGAAGGGCCCAAAAGAGGGATTCTTGAATTCCAAGAGCTGGTTAGCCCTGTGTTTCCCAACTTCTCCCCCACCGCAATTTCTTCCATACCTTGGGACCCAAGCCCTCCTGCCCACATCCCACAGAACTGTTCAAGGTCCTGGGCATGGGACAAGAGGCAGAGAGATCAAGATGAACCCAGGGGGATGAAGAAAAGAAAGAAATAGATCAAGGGGGCAAAAAGAGAAAAAGCAAGGAGCACCCTAGAGAGTGAGAGTGATAGGGCTCGAGATGGGGTAAGCCTGTGTGGTGACTTGCTCCTCACACAGTAGGGATGCAGCAGAGTGAAAGGAATCCCAATGTTAAAGAGAAAGGGGGGTGGCAAAGGGAGAGATGGGTGGAAAGTGTAGGAATAAGCACGGAGCAGGCAGCAAGTCCCAGGAAAAGAAAGGAGAGAGGAAGTGGGGCGACGAGGAAAGAGACAGGAAAGGTGATGAGAGGAAGAAAGGAAGGGTATGGGGAGAAAACCTGGAGGACCCAAAGGGGATGAGAATCAGGGAGGTGTGTGCAAAAAGGTGTGAGCAGAGGGTGCCAGAGATTGCAACAGACAGAAGTCTGGAGGGAATCCAGTGAGGCAGAAACCTTAGAGGGCAGAGCAGGAGGGAGGGCTGTAAAGAGGGGCTAGTGCCCCTCAACAATGAGCAGGAGGCTAGTAATTCTGTAGTGAGGGGAAAGGGGCCAGGAAGAAAAGGCCCTTGAGGAGAGAGAGTCTTGGAGCAAGGTGCGGGGAGAGGAACCCTCTCTGGAGGGAAGCCATCAGGATGAGACAGGGACATTCTGAACCAGGTATGAGGCTAAGCCAGGGTGAGGGCAGAAGAGGGGTGCACAAGACAAAGAGGATGTGGGGGCAAGAACAGGAGGGAAGCTGGAAAGTGGAAAGGAAACCTGGAGGGAGTAACAAAAGTGCTAGGTCTCTAGGTGGGTGCTAGGTTTCTGGAGCTGCTCAGAACCCATCACTGCTTGGTTGGGGAGGGGGCTAGGAAGCGAAAGGGTTAATGGGCTTTGAGATGTGTGGGTCCTGTAAACAGATGCAGTTGCCATGGCAACCAGCTCCATCACTTCGGCTGGAAAAACCCACAAAAGGGGGAGGAGCAGCAGACAGACAAACTGCCCGACGGACAAACGGGGGCGGCTGGATGTGGGGGGGGGTAGAGAGGAGAAAGAGCAAGAATTCCAGAATTCCGCCCCCCCACACCATGACTGGATGGGGAAGATGGGGGGGTCAGAGACCCACTGACATACCCACAGACAGGCGGGGGCGGCGGAGAAAGGGGGGCCCAGGAAGGAAGCCGACGATGGGGGATGTTAATGGGGGAGAACAGAAGCCAACGGATGGGGGATAGCGGAGAGAAGGCTCCAAGTTTCCCCGGGGGCTCTGAGACCATCTGCCCCCTGTCACCCCTCCCGTTCCTTGAGCCCCCTGCCCCTCACCCTGCCCCCAGCCAGCCCAGCCTTACGTGCCAGATGACAAAGAAGATGAGGGAGGCGCACAGCACCAGGGTGAGCATGTAGCAGAACGCGGCGAAGGTGAACGCCATGGCCCCCGCGCCGGGCGGCGGCCCGGGGGGCGCCAGCGCGGGGTTCGGGCGCAAGGGGACGCCCCCCGGCCCGCGCTTATTGCCAGCAGGGCATGGCCCGCGGGACTAGGGGGATGCGGGCGGCGCGGCCGGGGCCGGGGCCGCGGGGCCGCGGGGGCGCGGGGCGCGGGCCGGTGGGCTCGGGGGGCGCGTCCGCTGCCGGCTGCCCGAGCCCCGATCGCTCATCCTGCGATCCCTCGCCCGCGGCTCCCTAGCTCTCCAGCCCGCGAAGCCGGCGGGGCGGAGCCGGGGGCGGGGCCGCCGTGCAGCGGCCTCGGGCGGGGCCGGGACTCCGCGCGCCCCTCGCCAGCCGGACTGCCCCAGCGCTGTCCTTCGCCCCATGAGCCCATGGCTGCGCACCCCGGAACACGCAGACCTGGACGCACCTGCCACCCCGTTCACAGGAGCAGCTCACCACCGCAGGTCCATCCAGATCTGCACTCCCCCAACCCTCACACGTCGCTCACTCAGCGCGGGAGCCCGACTGAGGATCCAAGTATGAAGCACTTGTCACTGTCCGAAGGAGCAGGGGCACCTGGCCTGAGCCCAGAGAGGAGCTGGGAGAAGTGGCTGAAACCGGGAACTGGGAGGGGTATTGGGGTTCGTCTGTGGGGCACATTGCTGCGGCCAAACTCCACGCCTGGGACGCGAGTCCCTGTGGGTACTGGCAGCGACTCACCAGGTATTCGCTGATGGGCCCCAACCTGCCTCCCTGTGACAGATCCGTGCTGGGCCCTTGGGGACAGCCCACAGCAGCACAAGCAGGCAACTCTCCTGGCCCCATTATGTGGGTCAAGGGCTTTTGCTAGCAAGCTTAGGGCACAGCTCAAGCCAGGACCCCAGTACTTAAACCAAGGGCTCAGGTTCCATTCCCCCAGCCGAAAGCGGTTTCAGACCACAGACCACACTCAGCCACCACACAACTTCCTTGCAAAAACCCTCGGCTCATCCAAGGGCCAGTGGAAATTTATTGACTTTTTTTTTTTGTCCTTTTCAGTCTTTCCCCCAAGTGGTTTTTTCCTTGCAAAATGCCTGACATGACACCAGAGGGGAACCTGGGAGTAGGAGCCCCCAAAGGGCAGCCCAGGGATTTAAATACAAGCTGGAGGGGAGGGCAGGGCACAGGTGGGACAGGCAAGAGACAGCACAAGGGACATGGCTTCTTAGGTAGAGACCAAAGGTTTGTTTTCTGCAGGAAGCTGTGCCAGATGGCAGGAGCCAGGATCCTGTGGGAAGGGCGGACAGCAGAAAGTCCCCCAACCCTGGGTTGCACCCACACTCTTCAGAGAAGTAGCGGCAGGGACGAGCCTCTGGCCCCCTAGGCTTGAGGATGAAGGGAGAATAAGCCGGATGTGCTGCCTCAGGGAAAGGGAGATGCTGGCAGAGTGAGGGTTAAGGCTGATGCCCGGCCTCTGGCACAGGTGGGCCTCCCCTCCGCCTCCACCTGCCTTGGGGACAAAGGGGCGCAGTGGGCAGGCAGTGCATGGGCCTGACTCCGGCAGGGCAGGGGCGGCAGGAGCAGGCTCCCTCTGCACTAGAGACATAAACCCAGCGTAGCTGCCCACCCACCTGTCCTAGCTGTGCTAGGACCCCACTGCAGTGGGACGGCTCAGGCTGTAAGTGTGGGAGGGGTGGAGGGAGGCAGGGAAAAGAAAGGGTGGGCTTCTGGGCCCCTGCAGCCCCCAATACCCCTCCTGAGGTCTGGTCCAGGACCCTGGATCCTGGGTCCTGGACCCTGGAACCCCTGACCACAGACTGTAGCCCGAGGCAGCAGAGGCTACACAGGCCCTCAGCTCCTGGGAAAGGGAGAGAATGAAGAGGAGAAAGGAAAGAAACCCAGTGCAGCATACATGGGGGTGGGGACACGGACAATGGAGCCCTGGTTCCAAAGGAAGGTGCGTGGAGGGGTATCTTTTCAAGGTACTTAGAGGCAGCAGCAGAGCAGTCCCTGTGCCAACCCCAGCCCTGTATAGGTCCTGTGTGTCCTCCCTTGGGGCCCTGACAGAACCGGGGCCCAGGGCAGCAGGCAGATGGGCCAGAGGGAGATGGGGAGCCCAGGACACCCCAAAGCCACAGACTCAAATGCCCCAGGAGAGGGAGGCACCTCCTGCCCCCTCCAGGGGCATCATCTGGAGAAGGCATCCCCTCCTGTCCCACCCAAGTGCCCCTCCTAGCAACAGCCACCACTAGCTGGCTTCACAGGGGTGCTATCGATCTTCAAGTTGGGCCGTTCACCCCCTGAAGCTGCCCCTGGCCCCATTCGCTTTTTGATCTCAGCAGCCATAGTCATGAACGCCTGCTCAACGTTGGTGGCATTCTTGGCACTCGTCTCCAGGAAGGGGATGCCCAGAGAGTCTGCAAACTCCTGACAAGGGGAAAGGAGAAAAGAAGGTAGAGAAGGGTGAGGGGCAGTGGGCCCCAGCCCCCCGGCAGCCTGGCCAGCCCTGCTCACCTTGGCTGTGGTGTTGTCCACCACCTTCTTGGTGGTGAGGTCGCTCTTGTTGCCTACTAGGAGCTTATTGACATTCTCGCTGGCATAGCGGTCTATCTCTTGCAGCCACTGCTTCACGTTGGCATAGGATTCCTGGAGGGTCCAGGAGCTAAAGTTATTAAGTTCCCAACTCCAGCCCCTCCCTAGGCCTCAAAGAACAGGATCCTTTTGAGGGAGAGGCAGGAGCCCTGAGCTTGGAGATGCAGGGGGGTCTTCCTCTCTAGGCTTAGCTTTATTCCTTGCCTTCATCCATCTGGGACCCCCAAAAGCCAGGCCTAGCTCAGCCAGCTACCAGCCAATTGTGCTATAGCAGCTGTCTCTCTCTGAGCCACTCCCAGGCCTAACTTCATGTGGGGAGCCAATGGCACATGAAGAGAAGCAGAGAAAGTTTCCACAATGATCTTAAAGTCCTTTTAACCTTTCTTTTTTCTTTTTTTTTGCAGTGCTAGGGAATGAACCCAAGGCTTCACACATACTAGATAGCCCTCCCTTTAAGGTTTGCAGCCTTGGAGCCCAGTGGCCTCCAAGGGGAGGCCCTGGCCTGTGAAGGAGACAGGTATCCTGGGCACAGAGTCAAAGATTTGTCCTACCTCCGCTACTAATAGTCTGGGCTGCAGACATTACCAGCAGTTTGACATCCACTCATGTGCAGACAAAACACAGGACTTTAGGAAAGCACTCAGGTAAAGCTTCTTCTCCTTCCTAGGGTACACTGGGCTCTAATATACCTGTCCTGCCATGTCCTAAGCTGGTCTCTATGCTGGGTGCTGCTCGGGACAAAGAGAGGACACATACCTGGGCCTTCCCTTAAGGCATTTAGGGGACAGTGGACGAAAAGACCAGGACACACACAATGGCAAGATGAGATGGAAGGTAGGAGCCGGGGAACCCCAGGAATACCTCTGAGAAGCTACAGCTGACCTGAGCCTGCAGGTCCAAACTAGCATCATGCAGGAGGTGCCAGAGGAGGAGATAGTGCATACCAGCTCACAGGTTAGGAGAGCATGGTGTCTCTGAGGAGTGGGGAGTAGTAGGATGCAGGCCTCAAGGCAGGGAGAGGGGTGGGTAGGCCAGAGCCCAAAAGGTCTCAGCCTGGCTAAGACTGGGACAACCAGGAGCCAGTGAGGAAAGATAGTCTGGGCAGGAGTGTGAGAGAAGACCAACAAGAAGATGGAGACTGACTGGGAGGTAACTGGAATAAGAGAAGATGTGCCCTGAGCCAGGGAAGCAAGTGCTATGAGGTTATCCTGTGTGAAGCCTGGGCTCAGCCAATTACTGTGTGACTTTAGGTACACTACCTGACCTCTGTGAATCTCAGTTTTCTCTTTTGTGTAAAAGAGTACCTCCCCACAAGACTGTTGTTTGCATGAGAAAATGAATACAAGCCTGTCTCATAATAAGTGCTTAATTAGCAAAAGCTACTGTTGTTCTCATCACTGCTATTAGTATGAGGGACAGATTTGAGATGATGGGAAGAGAATGGAGGGGTCCTGAGACTGATGTGGGAGGGAAGAGCTTTTAGGCCAATCGAGATGGTGTTACAAAATAAGGGTACAAGAGGCAGTTTGGGAAGAGATGGTGAGAGGCCATCTGGACACCTGAATTCTTCAGATGACTGGCAGCCCAAAAGAGGCACCTGAGGGCAAGGAAGGGCGTGCTCAAAGCCAGGAACCCTGGGTTCCAGCCCTGATTTGCCTCTCCTGTTGGACAGACCAGGAGGCAAGTTACTTAACACCTGAGTTTTTTCATGTGGTAAACACAGGCACCACCACCATTTAGGGTAATTTTGTAAAGATCCACATTACACAGACATGATGTGCCAGCATAGGCATCAGGGTTGGAATTCAGGGGGACAGATGTCTAGACCTAAGCACAAGATGGAAGTCATACCACGGAAGGAGCCAGATGCATGTTGGGAGAGTAAGAGGTGACTGCATTCAGAGTTGGAGAGCAGAAAATATGGGGTTGGGGCAGTAAGGATAAGCCAATAAAGACACTGAAGGGCTGGGGCTGGGGCCCAGAAGCAGAGTGTGCACTCAGCAGTGCAGTATGTGTTTAGCAGGAGATAGGGGAGCTTTAGATAGCAAACTTTTCAAGGACAGAGAACAAAATGGAGTTAAAAGTCACAAGAGGTCAGTCAGGGCAAAACCTGACACAAGGTCACTGGACCGGGCAGTCAGGAAAGCCTTGGTGAACCAAGTGGTCCACAGCTAACCAGCTTATTGTCCAGAGCTGGGGAGGTAGAGGTGGGGCATCATGAGTTCCTGGTGAGTGGAGGAACCCTTGCCACTTAGAGCAGGGAATCCTCCCAGCTCAAGGCTTATGTTAAGCATTCATGTCCCCAGGGTCTGGCCTGTTAAGCAACAAGATTTGGTAGAAAAAACAAAACAGATGGGGGCATGGCTCAAAGTGGTAGAGTGCCTGCCCTGAGTTCAAAGGGTTTTTTTTTTTTTTACTTATGGGATACCATAAGTAAATAAATAAAATTTAAAAATAAAGCAGATGGGATACAGAGACCAGGCTTTCTGTCTCTGCTCCTGAACTAACTGGATGACCCTAAGCAAGTCATCTATCATCCTGAACCCAAATCCTCACCTTTAAGATGAGGACACCACACAGACCTCTTGTGAGTATCAATACAATTTGAAGCCCAGCACAATGGTACATACCTATAGTTCCAGCAACTTGGGAGACTGAATGCTCTCTCTCTCTCAAAAAATAATAAAGAAATAAAGCACACACACACATTAAAAAACAAAACAAAACAAAACAAAAAACCTAAGGCAATTTGAAGATTGTGATAGGTTCTGTAAGCTACAAGATAATGATAAGGATGGCCAGGCACTGGTGGCTCACACCTGTAACCTTAGCTACTCAGGAGGCTGAGATCAGGAGGATCACAGTTCAAATCCAGCCCAGGCAAATAGTTTGTAGACCCTATCTCAAAAATACCCAACACAAAACAGGGCTGGCAGAATGGCTCAAGTGGTAGAGTGCCTGCCTAGTCAGCATGAGGCCCTGGGTTCAAGCTGTAGAACTTCCAAAAGAAAACATATGAATATATGACAGGATGGTTTCTTACTTTTGCAACCATTATTATTGCCAGTAACAAGTAGCTGAAGCCACCACAGCAGACACAGAGCTCCTGGACTTCTGTTCATACTGAGCTCAGGGCTCCCTTACTTTCTTGCCTAAGGCCTTCCAATTGCTCCCCCAGTGTCTTCACACAGGAAGCCACAGGCCCAGCAGAGCGGCCAACCAGCTGACTAAACCCCCACAAAACACAAGTGCCTGGAAGGTCTAGAATAAGGTGTGGGGAGGGGAAGTGTGAGGACTGGTTCTGCCAAGACCCTATAGCAGGGCCTCAGGAGGATCCATTTCTGTGGCTGTTTCCCTTCTTGTGCAATGAGTCAGAGTACAATCTCTTTTCCAGGAAGCATCAGGAAAAAGAAGATGGGAAGAGTAAAAAGAAGCAAGCATCAAAACCGAAGGTTGGTGGGTGCTGGTGGCTCATGTCTGTAAATCCTAGCTACTCAGAAGGCAGAGATCAGGAGGATCACAGTTCAAAGCCAGACCGGGCAAATAGTTCTCGAGACCCTATTTTGAAAATACCCAACACAAAAAAGTGCGGATGGAATGGCTCAAGGTGTAAGCCCTGAATTCAAATCCCAGTACCACAAAACAAAACAAACCCAAGGTTGATGAGGCAAAGCTGGGAGGGGAAGTCCAGAAGTACCTGGTCAGTGACATCATACACCACGATGATGCCATGAGCCCCTCGGTAGTAGCTTGAAGTGATGGTCCGGAACCGTTCCTGACCAGCTGTGTCCCACTGCAAGACAGTAAGGAGAGGCAAGGGTCAGCCCTATGCAAACCCTTCCCCTCTCAAGGCACATGCTTCAGTTCAAGAAATGGAGAAGAGCCACACTCACAATCTGAAGTTTGATGGTTTTGCCATCCAGCTCAATGGTTCGGATCTTGAAGTCCACTCCGATGGTGCTGATGTAGCTCTCTGTGTATGTGTCATCCTGAAAAGTCGTAGCCAGTGCAATGGCCTAAGCCAATGAGCTCAAGGCCCACTTGGAAAGCCTCCCTCCAGCTCCATGCCCTGTCTGGGTAAGCCCCAGTTCTGAGCACCCCAACTTGTCAGCTCTGTGCCCTTGTTCTGGCAGGTAGTGCAACCTTATCCTTGGTTCCCAGGTCTTGCAACTACTATGTACTGGGTTTCCCCCTTCTCCCTCCCAGCAGCCAGCTAGGACCTCAGATGGACGGTGGTGGGGGGCTGTTCTTACTCACAGCAAACCGCAGAAGCAGGCATGACTTGCCCACACCCGAGTCACCAATCAAAAGCAGCTTAAAAAGGTAGTCACTGGAGACAGGGAGAAAGGGAGAGAGAACATAGGAAGGCATGAAGGAAGGCAGAGAGCCCACCTGCCATCATCCTGGAGTTAACACTACAGAATCTCCACGAACCACGAGGCATGCCTTGGTTTGGTGTACTATGGTGCACACTGGATCCTCTCACGAGTCCTGCAAGGGCAGCAAAGGTAGGGTCCCACCCCCGACAAGCTAGTCCACAGGGCTCACAGATTGCTAAATCTGAATTCCCATTTTATGGAGAAAGAAACAGGCACAGAAAGGCACAGAAAGACTGCCAAGAATCTCAATCAGATAATGGAGCTGGGTATCCTACCCTGACTCCTGACAGACACCCTGGTTTTGTTCACTAGTGGTTATTTAGGGAAATTCTACTCGGCCATGTGTTCTGGGGTAGGCCAGAAGTGGAAATTAGGGTTCAGCCAAGAACCTATCAAGTGAAAAAGCTACTTACAGAGACAAAAAGTAGTCAACAGTGGCAATGATAACGGTGTTTAATACTTACTGGGTTTTAACTGGCCCCGTGCGAAGTACTTTAAATGCATCATCTCATTAAACCCTCACAACAGTTCGACTAAGTGCTTTGCGTGTAGTTATTCTCAACGAATGAGGAAACTAGAGGTCTGAGGAGGGAAGTGATCTGCCCTAAACTACCCAGCTGACAACTATGGAAGTCTTCTGCTTCCCTTCTGTCTCCCTTCTAATCAGGCTGAGCTTCACCCTTCCCCAAGGAAATGTGAAGACTGGAGATGTAGAAGAAAAAAGGAAGTGGCAGAAGAGGAAGAAGGCAACTGATACTTGGGGAAACTAGACGTGCAGGGCATGTGATGTCAGCCACCTACTACAGGGAGAGTTGAGCAAGTGTGAAGTTTGAGGACTAGTGAATCCCAGTCCATCCAAGGGGAAAGTATATTCCACACTCACTTACAGTTCTCTGGCAGTGTGAGAGTGAAGGGACAGAGTGTGACGGTGGCGCTGGAGGCATGAACAAAGGTGAGAGGGCAGGACAGCGCGACCCAGGCAAGTGCAAGGCGGCAGTCCGGAGGGGAGGCCCTAAAGGGGACACGAACCAAGCAGCGCTTGGGGTCCTCCCGCATTTGGCCCAGTCCCAACCGGGCTCCAGTAGAAAGGCAAAGGCAGAGAGGTTCACGGCCGGACCTAAAGTGACTGAGTCTGAACCCGAGACCAGACACTGTTGTGACAAGTTCCAAATCAAGGGACCGTTGTCAAGCAGCAGGTGGGGAAACTGAGGCCTGGGAAAACCGGAGCTGCCGGGTCACCTAACCGAAAAGGCCTAGCAGGATCGGTGCATAGATCTCCAAGTGCTGCCACTTGGGGTTGCCGCGTCTAGGTCCTGGATGTGAAGACTCGGGGAGTCTAGCAGGGGTCTTGGGCCCCTCGGGGAAGGGGCAGGACCCGGATGTGAGGGGGGGGGTCAGCGGAAGAGGGACCCGGATGTGGGGGCGCCGCGCAGTTCTGACCCGGGCCAGACAACCCCAGTAAGCGTACAGCCCCGCACTCGGGATCGAGGCTGCGCCAAACGGGCGGGGCTCACTCACTATTCGGGGTTCATGGCGGCGGCGGCGGCCCGCTCGGTGGCTCCCAGTCGGCTGTGCTCCGCCTCCCGTTCCAAGATGGTGGCCGCTCCGCCCTAGAGGCCCCGCCCGCACTGCGCAGGCGCAAACATTTCGCGCCGCGCCGCCTCCCGGAACCTGTAGTCTTTCGGATGTAAGACTCGCTCCCGCCGCGCAGGCGCAACCTGCAGGGTGGCTAGCGGACGCGCGCTCCCGTCGCCGCCTGGGCATTGTTTTCTGGGGCTTGTAGTCCACTCCTTAGACGACTGCTGCGGTACTGCGCTCCCAGCCTGATGGTAACCTGGGCAGGTGCAAGCTCAATTTAGCACTGGGTTGGCACGTTTCGCTTTTCAAGGCATGTTTGTATCCTCTTTAATACCTCTCCAAGTCCAGTGGGTTCCCTTTATAGGTGAAAAAATGATTCTCACTTTATTGGGCTCTCAAAATGCACAGAACATACATCGTACCATGGCTGGCACCTGTATATACAACTACATACTAAATACAATTAAGAGACAGTGGCAAATACAGAAACCTCAACTTCCATTACAACAACACGAAAACTTCACAATGTTTCAAGAGCACAATTGCATTTCTAGATACATTTAGCTTGGTTTGCCGAAGAAATATACATACAAGGTCAAGGATGACAGAATTCGGCACTCAAGACATTTGACAACCCTTAAGAATTTTCTGCCTTAAGATGATCACAGTTTGCTACTGTGACATTAGATATAAAAAATTCACAAATTATCCTCCCAACCCCACATGTTTCACTTCTCTCTGTCAGAGGCAGCCAGCCTCACCCTCTTGGTTTGCAGGTTGTGAACATTAAACGAGAAGGCGAGGACTGGAGGTGTGGCTCAAGTGGTAGAGTGCCTGCTTTGCAAGCATGAAGCCCTGAGTTCAAACCCCAGGCCCAGCAAAAAAAAAAAAAAAAAAAAAAAAAAGAGCGAGAAGGCGTATAGTACTAACAGGACCAGTAAAAGATCATTTATCCGGGGTTCTTCACGTGCTGGGCACTCCTAACTCAGCTGCAAGCCCAGGAAGATGTCATCACATTTCATACAAGAAAACTCGGGAAGCTCGTTCAAGGCTAAAAAAACATATTAAGGGGCAGAGCTCATCAAAGGCTACGCTCTCTGTAACCCCAAAAGTGAAGGCTTTAGAAGAAATCCAGCACCTGCGGCTCCAGAGTATTGGCTCCAGCATCGCGGGACCGGACTGTGAGAAACGCACGCACACACCCCAGTCACACGCAGCCCCTCCCCAACCCGGAAACCTTGGAGGGCCCTGGGCCTCCACTTCAAAACAGGCTTGGCTCAGATTCAAACCGTCTTTATTTCTAACAGCAACATCTGAAAATAGAGGGCGACCGCCTCACCCCCACACCTGGGGCAGTCCCTCCTGTCACGGGGTGGGGGCGGGGGCTGTCACTGGCCCTCGCGAGAAGCTGCGGGCTTGAGGCGTGGCAGATGGCTCAACGCGCGGCACCCCGCCGTGTGCGGGCGGGGCCGGATGGGAGGGGCAGTGCATAAGGCCAGGACGCTCCGCAGGGCCCGGTGGTGCGGAGACCCGCATGGGCGAGAGTCCTCAGTCCAGAGGCATGGGGCAAGGCGAGGTGGGGCGCGTTCCTCCAAGGCCAGGAACATGAGGAGGTCAAGGAAACCCTTTGGGTAGGCGCCGCTCTGAGAACGTGGAGCCAGGGAGATACCACCGCGCGGAATGGGGGTGATTAAGGCCTGGGCGGTACCACTGGAGAATGGAGGCCCGGGGAGTACCGTGGACTGAGGGAAGGGGCGCGGCCAATAACTTATTTCTCTATATACAGAAGCAACGGCCGGGAGGGAAGCAGGGGTGTGGAGGGACAGCAGGTGCTTAAGTGTTCTTGGCTCTGGGGAAAGCAGGTTGCAGTAGTCTCTAATCTTGGAGACCCCAGCCAGGCCCTCCCATTGGCCCTGGAACCTAGGGAAGGGAGTGTGTGTGGGGGTCCTGCTGGAAGGAATAAATAACAGGTAGAGCTGGAGAGGGCTGGCTCGGCCTCCAGGGCCTAGATGACAAGGGATGAGGTTACCCTGAGATTGAACAGAAAAGACAGGGGTCCTTGGGAGAGAAGGCAGGACAAGCAGCAGGCCCATGCGCAGGGCTGGGGGACCGGTTGAAGGGGGTAGGAGTAGTTTGCCTGGTAGAGGCTCTGGTGACTGGCTGTCCCTTCAGGGTTAACCCACCAGGGAGCTTCGTCGGGAGAGGTCCATGGAGCTGGAGCTGAGGGTGCGGCTGTCAGAGAGACCAGTGCCTCCAGGCTGTGGGCAGAGAACAGGTCTCTTAGCACCAAGCAGCTGCATCTGTGCTTCCGGGCCTTAGGGCCTGATCCAAGGCCACGGCCTGTGCCTAACATTCCTGCCATCTCTAGTTACTGTGTTGGTATTAGTGGATTCTGTGTTCACCCCAGGATGGGTGCTGCATACCCCTCATCTGTCTGTCTGCTGTCCAAACTAAAGTAGGCTGGGATGGGTACAGAACTGTTGCTGGATGAAGACATACTCCAGAAGCTAGGCAGGAATACATGCAGACCTGGGTCCCAGGGGCCCCAGGCTGTCCAGTGCGAGGTACCCACCACCCCTACCTGGACTGGCTCTTCCACACTTTTGTTGAGGAAGTTGAGGGAACTGGCCCGCTTCATCCTGAAGAAAAAGGATGGTTAGGATTTGTCATCATAGACTAGAAGGCAGGGCTGGGATGGGGAAGGGATCAAGCTGGTGATGGGGAGGGATGGGGAGTTGGTGGTAGTGGCGCCTGAGAGGGGCCAGTAGGACATACTTGGATCAGGAGCTTATGTGAGGTCACTGGGTGGTTTTGAACAGGCTTACCTGGAGTTAGGGGGCTCCTGTGGACCGCCTCCCTGCAGCTTCTTCACCAGCATTTCACTGCTGCGTCTCAGAGCATCCCGGAGCTTCCCAAAAGAGCCGCTGCGCCGCAATGAGCCGCTGCCATCCTGTGGGTGACAGGCCTGTCTCTAGGCCGCACTGGCTACACAGGCTCCTGGCCCATCCCAGCCAACACACTCACCCCGCTCCACTCAGCTGCAGGCCCTGACTCTTCCAGGTCAGACTCAGACCGAGGCCCAGCACTGCTGGCCACATCTCGGCTGCTGCGGCGGTCTCCCCGCCCACCGCTGCCATCTTTCAACAGTTCTACCACCTTGGTCTGGCTGGCAGGGTCCAGGCCCTGAGGGAGAGGGAGCATCAGGCCCTTACTGGAATACACATGGGGCCTTACAGGTGCCTGCACACTCTGTTCATTCATGGAGCCCCCACCTGCTTGCGGCTGCGACTGGCACAGTCCTCCAGCGTGTGTGCAGCTTCCAGCTTGCCTTGGCGACGGTACAGGGCTCCCAAGCTGCGCAGGGTGGTATTGACTGTGGGACTGTGGATGGAAAAAAGGTCACAAACTGTGTTGCCCAAAGTCAGGGCCTATATGGCATCCAGCCCATGCTGGGCCCTCAGGAATCATCAGGCAAACCACAATCTAGTACCTCCCATGCATGTACCTAGCCCTGTATTAGGCCCACTGGTCTCCTGTCCTAGGACAAAACCCCAGGACTGAGGACTTGGCCCCAGGGACCTTATGGGACATTGCCACCAGGACCAAAAGATGGGAGACTCAGGAAAGAATCAGGCTGTCTGTGCAGAAAGCTTTCTTCGGGACAGGTAGCCTGTGACCAGGCCTTGAAAGATGGGCTGGCAGAGGGGAGGTGTCTCTGGGGTGAGAGGATGGAGTATGCAGCCTGGGCCTTGCCCATTAGGGTGCTGTTTCCCTGCTACCCACTCTACCCCCAGCCTAGCCCCTGCTGCCCTCACCTGTCAACCTTACAGGCCTTGTACCAGCTGCCATATTCCCCATAGGGGGCGCTGTCCCGGCGTTTATCCTGGGGGAAAGAATGGCCTGGGAAGGTGGCAGAAGGCCCTCCCTCCCCTCCACACATCCGTTTCACACCCTCACCTGAGACCTGCCCAGCCCTGCCCTCAGAGCTACCTTGCTCTCCTCCCGTTCCTCTGCATGCATCCAGATGGGCTTGTTGTCCCCTGAAAGGAAAACAGGGATGGTCAACAGCCTGCTTTTTCAGATTAGGCTAGACACAGGACTGGGGTCTGGGGAGGAGGGCAGGGGTATCCAGGAAGGACCACTGTTGGACTTTGTTGAATGAAGAAACAAGAAACAGACCCAAAAAACATCACTAACCTTCCTCTGAACACAGATGAACAGGGCACAGGCCTGTGTTAAGTGGCTTGTGAATGGGGTGGGGTGAAGGGTGAAGGACAGAACACTACACATCTCAGGCTCACAGCCTGAGACACCTGGTTGGCCTGAATGACAGGTTAGGCTCTGATGGATCAGGAGATGGAAATGATTGATCACAAGGACCAGAAGGCTATTTCTTAGAAACGGAGACAGAAGTTGCCTGGCTGACAAAAGGGGGGAGACTGGGTCAAGAGTGTGGGTTTGCCAAACTTGTGCCCACCCAGTGCAGTGAGTTAGGTATGTGGGCTCCTGTGGGTGCCATCCACAGGTGAGGGTGGGCCACCAGCCAAACCCCAGATACGATGGCCTGCTGGGCTAAGATATTGTTGGAAGCTCATGCTGGATGAGCTAGAGGTCCATGGTCTTACCATTGACAGAGCCAAACTCTTTCTCATGAGCGCGGGTGAGGATCTCCTTGTACAAGGTCTCTGCATCCTGGTACTTGCCCTGTTTCAGGTAACAGGAAGCCTGGGGAGACACAGGGCCAGGAGGGTAAGCAGTATGCAGGGAGCTGAGCTTTCCCTCTCCTTCTTCCCCATCCTCAGCCCTCCTTCCCAGCCTCCATCCCTGCCCCATCACAGGGTACCAGGTTGTTCTTGGTCTTGGCCACATTGGGGTCATCAGGCCCAAGGCGTGTGGCATAGATCTCCAGTGCCCGCCGGTAGTAGTATTCCACCTCCTCAGCTTTGCCCTGGTTCTGGCAGAGCAAGGCCAGATTGCTGAGCTGCTTGGCCACATCTGGGTGAAACTTGCCCAGGACCTGGGATGGAGGAATCAGTAGCTAGGCTCAGAGCTACCTGAGTCCCCACTTGCCTAGCCTACAGCCTTGCCTGTTCCCACCTTCTCCCGGATCTCCAGCGCCCGCTTGCACAATGGCTCGGCCTCCTTATACTTGCCCCGCTTGCCGTACAGAACTGCCAGGTTGTTTAGTGTTGCAGCCACCTGGAGGGTGGGAGAATGGATGCACCCTGACCCAGGGCTCTGCTGGGCAGACTATGGGACCTGTAGAGGGTGGAGGGCAGCTCTCTTCTCCCTCCCCCCCAACCCTTACTCACAGCTGGGTGGTCCTTGCCCAGTGTCTTCTCCCGGATTGCCAGGGCATCATTAAGCAGGTGAGCAGCTTCCTTGTACTTGTTCTGATCCCTGGGGGCAAACAGGAGGACATTCAGGGCCGGCAGTCCTCATGGTCACTGATGAGTGGGTACAGTGGGAATACCACCCAGCGTGGGAGGCCTGTGCTTCCGCTGCTTTCCAGGAGCTCAGGGGATGCTGGGTAGTTCACAACACATTCCAGGGCCCTGCCTCATGCCAGGGCTCTGAGCTGCATACCCTCTATACCCTGCTCTTTGGTCCCCAGTGCCTTGACTCACATCACTTTCTGCCACAGAAACCCTTTTTAACCCACTTATATTCTGGGCCAACTCATTTTTCAAAGCCCTACTCAATCCTGGGTACCTGGAGAAGCCATGCTGACTCCCGGTGACTCTGGCATCCTAAGGTGCCACTCTCACTGCTCATGTCTAAGCCTTTCTCCTCCACAAAACTGAGGTTTACTGCCATCTGGAGGCCAGCTCTATGCAGGCCTCTCTCTGCTGCCCAACTGCCCCTGGAGCCCTGGTCCCAGCAGTCATGAGGGTTAGTGACCCAGGACTGGAGCTGTCAGGAAGGATTGGGTATGCCCACATGGGCAGGGGTCTCTCACCGGTAGACCAATGCCAGGATGTTCAGCATAGTGGCCACATCAGGGTGGTCATGGCCTGATGTCTTCTCCAGGTCCTCCAGTGCCTGCTTGCAGAGAGGCACTGCCACCTCATAGCGGCCCTGCGAGGCATACTGGATCACCAGGTTGTGCAGGGTGCGGAGCCGTGCTGGGATTTCATAGCCCCCGTGCTGGGCAGCCACATCCCCTCCTCCAGGACTGGGGGCTGCAGGGCCAAGGGTAGGAAGTCAGAGTGCCATCTGCCCACTTGGCTGGGCTGGCAATGCCAGCTGTGCCTTTGGCACACATGGCCCCGGGCAAGTCACTAACCACCCTGCCTCATTTCCCCATTTATAGAGTAAATCTGATTACTCCATAGAGACCCTAACATCTTGAGCTCCAGCTTCATCTGCAGTGTGGGCTCCCATGTGTGCTCAACATGATAAGTGAGGCAAACAGCCTGGCTCAGCCCTACCATGAATGCGTCTCCTCTGACCCTCAGAGTAGGCCCAGAGAGAAGTGAGTGTCAGAGTCAGGCCTGGCTCCCTCAGAGCTTGAACCATGATATCTGTTCCTTGCAGAGCTCGGGGGTACAAGATGCAACAGGAAGATCTGCCTTTTAAGCACTAATGCACTGGGATGTTGTGATTAGAAACAAGGCAAGAAAGAACATGGCTGTCATTCAGTCCCCTTCTCTTGAGACTTCCAGGTCCCCGGGTCCAGAAATTTATACAATCTTTTCTTCCCCCAACCCAGAACCAACTGCCCATCTGCACCTGGGCTCTGCTCATCCTCATTAGGGAATAGGTCATCCAGAGAATCTTTGGGGACATCACCCTTTTCCTCCTGGGAAGGAAGACAGGACAGGTGTCAGGGAAGGTGATTCAGATATCGGTGGGCTGGATAGGAGCTGAGTGTTCCCAGCTTCCCCAGGCCCCTGGCTGGGATGGAGCTCACATTGGGGGAGGCATCCTCGTCCAGCTTGCGGATCTGGCTCATAAACAGTAGGTGCTGCTTCTCCTCCTCCAGCTGGGCCACTGCCTGCTCACTGCGTTGTAGCTTCTGCTGTGTTCCCGCTAGCTCCTCACGCAACCACTGGTTCTCCTGCACCAGGCGCCGTACCTGAGCCCGCAGCTTCTGCTTCTCTGATTCCACAGCCCCCAGGTGGCTTGACAGTGCTAGGATCACCTGTGCAGCCAGCCAGATGAATGTCAAAACCCTGGCTACCCCTCAGCCTACAGCTACAGTCTAGGCTTCATAGGTACCTGAGGCCCAGGGAAGGGCCAGGCCTGGCCCTACCTGTGACATGCTGCAGAGCCTTGGGCCTAGTTCTCCTCTTCTCAAAGGAGATTTCTCCCAGGCCCGAAACAGATCACAGTCCAGAGTCTAAGCCCAGAAGGTTTGGGGTCCTTAACCGCTTCCTTCTGGTATTCTGAGTGCTCAGACTCTTTACTGCTCCCAGACCCAAGGCTAGCGCTTGCTTAAAGAGCCCTAACAGGTGGTTGAAAGGCCAGTGAAAGACCTCATGTGAACTTCTGCTGAAGGTCCCTAGCACTCTCTGCTTTCTGCAGCTTCCAGGTAGGGAAGGGGATCCAGATGCATCAGCCTCAGCCTCCAACCTCTGACTTCCTACCTGAGCTTCCAGGCTCTTCCTGTGTTGGGGCTTTAGCATGGGTGTCACACTCCCTTCTCTATTGCTTATGGTCCAGGGTCATTTCTGTCTCTTCCCAGTCACGTTCTGGCTTCTTTCTCCAGCACCACACCCAGCCTCACCGCCAGCATCCTCCATGCCATCCCATTTCCCATCTGAGGACCCTCCCTGCATTACTGGGAGTGGGGACCCTGTGTGCCATGTCTGCACCTGACAGTCAACTGGCCAAGGAGGTGACGTATTGCCTTCCAAAAGGCTAGGCAGTCTGGGACCCTGAACTTTCTAGTTGATTAGCAAATGTCTAAGTGACAGGTGTTTTCATACCACTAGCTTTAAAAAAAAAAATTCCCTAAACAGCCTGGAAGTATATACTGCAGATGGCATGATCCTTATTTTAAAGACAAGAAAATCAAAATGATACAATGTGCCCAGCAGTGGTGTGGCTAAATTCTGAGGAGAACAAAACCTTTTCTGTAGAGACTAAATCCCTGTCCATCTCAATGACTCCTGAACATCCTGGTCTGCATATGGTTCCACAGCCCAATTTATGGAGGGCCCAAACAGAACTGACCCACCCAAGCTTTCTCATCCCTGAACTCCCATCCCACAAACCTGAGAGTTACGCTGTTCCCTTCTTTAATTCCCAGGTCCTGCTGAGCCTGACTCTATAATATCTAGAACTGGTCCTATTCCTTCCATCCTCCATCCTCATGGCTAACTCTCTTGAGTTCCTATATTACTGACATTCCTCTGGAAGGCTCAGTCCTTCCCCTGACCTCCCATCTCAGCACATCGAGGTAACCTACCTGGGCTTCCCCCAGTCCCAGCTCGATAGCTTCCAGGGAGCGACGCAGGAGGAGGGAGCGCTCCTGTGAGCCAGGCTCCGCCTCGCCGGCCTCAGGAGAAGCCAGGGGAGCCAGTAGGGCACGATGCTCTCCGCGCAGGGTCTCTAGTCCCTGGATGACGGCTTTGGTGCCTAGTACGATCTCATCCTGGCTCAGCTTCTCCTCTCTCGGAAGCACCATGGTGGCCATGGTTGAGCCGTCTGTGAAGGCCAGGGGCGGGCAGGCGGGCGCCGGGCCTAGGGCCACACCGCCATCCGCCCCGAATTAGGTAAACACCGGCGGTCCCCGGACGCCTGGGTCCCCGGGGTGCCCAGGTCCCCCAGTCGGCAGCCCGCACCGTGCTAGCCCTCGGCCTACAGGGGGCGCGCCAGACCCATCTCGGCCAGGGAGACGCAATGCGGTGCGGCTGGTGGGGCTCCTGATTTCTCCCCAGACCACCCGCTCAGTTAGGCGGCCTAGTCTTGGGGCTTCCCCGGGACTCCCCAAGTCAGGACACCAAGCATCAGGGAGCGGTACAGGGGCCGTAGGGGTTTACACCTGCGGGGGAGACCCCGGTCGCTCCAGGCGACCAGGTCCTAGCCCCTGCGACACCCCGTCCCCTCTGGCTGGCCTAATCACAGAGCCCCTCCCCCAGGGTAGGCCGATCCCACAGAGACCCTCCCCCTAGGGAGAGGTTGAGATCTCCGGTTTCAGGACCGGGTTCGTTCACGCCGCGCCCACGACGACCCCTCCCGTAAGTTGGTGTAACGCTCTGCAGACCGTCCTGGGTCTGCAGGACCGCTCCTCCTCCCCGCAGACAGGCCGCACCCACGACGATCCCTCCTCTAGGCCGACCACAACCCTCCGCCCTCGTTAGGGCCAAACCCCCTCTCCCGGCCCAATCGGCCCGTGCTGACCTGCGCCTCCAGCTCAGGCCCGGCTCCCACTCTGGCTCCGGCTCTGGCTCCCGCCCGGCTTCACCCGGACCCGCAGCGGTGTGCAGGTCCCGCTGGCTCCATCCCGCCGGCCTTCCCAGCAAACCCCGCGCCGCCTTAAAGGTGAAGCCGTTACCTCGGAGCGTCGGAGGGGGCGAAACGCCGGCTTGTGGGCCGCTCGCTGCCTTAAAGGAGCGCGCGGGCCCTGAAGGCTACAGGAGCGGGGCGGGGCCACCCAAGGGGGTGGGCGTGGTCGCCGAGGGGGTGGGGCGTGGACTTGCCTAGGCGCTGGTTAGTGCTGGGGATTCCCAGGCCTCAGATGTGAAGCTGCTCGGCAGAATGTGAAACCCATGCCGACCAGCGAGGACACTGGGGCAAACTGAGGCGCAAGGAGAAGGCCCACCCCCCTCGGAGTCCAGAGCGAGACAGTCCACATTTATTGAGCGCTTACACGTTTGGTGGCTTCCACGAATTAACAGTGTTCACAAAACCCGGTTGAAGTGGATGCTGCCATTATCCGCATTTATCTGTCCTCTGCCTCACTTGTCTTTAGAGACCGCTCCTCTTGCTCTGCGGAACTGTCCATATCCCTATAGGGAATTCACAGCGTTTTGGGCTGCTGGTTTTTTTTAACAATTTTTATTAGCATTTATTAGTTACATTTACATATGTGCTTACAATGTATCTTAATTGGATTCACACCATCATTCTCCCCTTAGAACAATTTCAAGTTTTTTGGATTTTTTTCTTGTTTTTGTTTTTTGCGGTACTGGAGTTTGAACTCAGGGCCTTGTCCTTGCTAGGCAGGTGCTCTACCACTTGAACCACATTCCAAGCCCTCAACAGGTTTCATTGTCTGTTTTCATACACGCATACAAAGTATATCAACATTAGATCTCCTTCACCCTCTGCATTTCCCATTTATCCCCTCCACTAGTACCCCGTCCACCAGAACATGTTTCATCTTCACTGTTTTTAAGTGAATATTGATTGTTCAAGGAGCATTCTCCTTGGTCTTTCACACCTGTATATATTGTACTTAGATTAACCCCCTCTATTATTTACTCATTCTCTATCACCCTGCTCCCTCCCCTATTATTCAACAGCTTTCAGTGTATTTCATTATGCTGTCTTCATACACAGATGCAATGTATTTCAATATTATTCACTCTACATTTTCCTCTTTGGGCTGCTTCTTGAGGGAAGGGAGGAAGGCTTCTGGCTGAAAGGGGGAGAGGGATGGCAAGGAGCAGGGGGGCCTAGGTGGAAACAAGGATCAGTGTACCCTCCCTCCCTTCCTCCTTCCTTCCTTCCTTCCTTCCTTCCTCCCTCTCTTTTGTGGTTCTGTAGTTTGAACTCAGTGCTTATACCCTGAGACACTCCACCAGTCCTTTTCTGTGGTTTTTTTCGAGATAGGGTCTCATGAGCTATGTGCTGGGAGCTGGCTTCAAACTTCCATCCTCCTGATCTCAGGAATATGGAGAGTAGCTAGAATTACATGTGTGAGCCACCAGCGCCCAGAGAGTACAGTTCATTTTATCCCTGAGAGTGTGTAAGGGAGACTAGCCACATAGAGGTTAAGAGAATAGAGGCCACATTGCATGTTCAGGCCCATGCAATATTACAAGTGTGCACTCTCAACATGGAGCTGGAGGCAGATTCCCCAGACACACCTGCTGCCCATGTGCACTCTCCATGTGTCTGGGTCTACAGGCCCATGGGAAGCATGCCACACACCCAGGTGCAAACACACCTGCCACTTCTGCCTCTATCCTGTGCTTTTTATGTAATAAAGGCACATGTTCTTTTTATTCTTTTTATTACTGTCGAAGGTTAAAGAGAGAACTGTTTTCAGCCTTGTTTTATGGCTTTTGCTCGTTTCTTGCTCTAGCTTTTCTGCTAATTCCCTGCAGGCTTTTGTGGTTTCTTTTGTGCTTCCTCTTGGGCGGCTGGCCTTGCTCCCTTGTGCCAGATACAGGCAGGGCTGGACCTTTCCCTGCCTGTTTTCATGCCCTTATCTTGCTGTCAGTGCTTAACCATGACAGCGTTCAACCTTTTTCAGCCACTTGCCTTTTTTAATCTGGCCTCTGAGGATTACATTGTGTATCTCCCCAGGGAAGATTGTTACTTCATCCTGCTCTGTTCTGTGCTCCCCCTATTCCTCAGCTGCTGGTCTCCTGCCAGGATGCTGATGGGTGCTCAGTAAATGGAGAATAAAGGAAGGAATTGGTGCCTGATGGTGATTCAGCTCCTTTTGCCATTTCCTGCAGTACTCAGCAACACCTCCCCCACTGCCTCCATGCCTTGGAAGGTTGTTCTTACAACTTTTAATATTATTGTATCATCTCTGAAACTCACTCCCCAATCCATCCCTTCTTCTCCCCCAGCCTTTTACTCTCAGAGGTGCCCATCTGTATGCCTGCTTTCTTACTTTATTCGATTCCTCCTGGTAGCCTCCCTCCTTTCCTCTTAAGTGGGTAGGGCACTTTCTTCATGATCTCATCCCACTTGAAAACTTAATGGATTTACCCAGAAGTGCTCAAGATTGGTGGCACCCTGAAGACCACGTCCTGGCTTCCTGTTCTGCTGTGGACACCTTTGGTTGACAGCTCTTTCTGCCACTGAGTCAAGATCAAATAGGCTCAGAGCTGTCATAAGAGGCCTGGGATTTCTGCCCTGGCAGCCATGTGGCAAATCTGCACTCTTCCTTCCTGTGGCCTTCTAGCCAGGTTAGAAGGGTCACATCCTGCTCATCAGGAGGGAACATGGTTCAGACTCTACTAAGGACAAAGCCACATCTCCTTCACTTTGCCAGCCGTGTAGTGTTTTAGGCAAGCTCTGTAAAATGGGTTCCTAATACCTACCTTGTTGGGTCATGGAGAAAACTGAATAAAATGGCACAAAGTTTTCACAGTAAGTCTTGTACATAACAGACACTGTTCCTTGGGGTTATTTGTTATTATCATCACTGACAAGCTTAGCAGAGTGGGAGTTAGGGAGAAAAAAGGTAAAATATAGGCCAGCCTCTGCTAACAGTGTTGTTAGAGAGAAAAGCCTGAGAACCAAAGGAAGCAACAGGTAAGGCAGCAAATAGAAAGGTGAGTCTGAGCAGAAGCAAAGGTCGAGATGTTTGATGCTGACAGAGGGAGATCAGCTGGTGTGTGTGTCTGTATGAGAGACAGAGAGAGAGAGAATTTCCCTGATGTCAGCTCCCCCATATGCCAAGGGAGCCCAAATTCCTATCTCCAGACCAGACCCTCCCCTCAACTCCAGCCAGACCCATACATTCAACCTCCACTGGGAATGGCACACATGCTCCAGCCCTGGCCCACACTCACCATCACCAGTCCAAGTCTCCTGCAGGGATGTGTTACCATCTGCTCATCAAGCAGGGCAGATGGCCAGTCCTGTCCTTGACTCTCTCTTTCAGCCTGTTTTCTCACCAGCCATCTAATCCTGTTAATTCCCTCTCAAGTCACTCTCAGGTCTGTCTACTTTTCTCCAACCCTTCTACCCTTTCCTTAGTCTATGTCTTCTTCACATTGACTCTAAATAATGCTCCAGCCTTTGAACTCATCACTTGTTCTGGATGCAGGCCTTGTATCCTTCAGTGTGCTGTGGCTAGGTGAACTTTCCCAACTCCATCCTCATTCCTCTGCCCAAAACCCTTTATCAGTTTCTCCCTGTTGTCTCAGGACCAAGAGTACAAACTTCACTCTGGCAAAAATAGGAATTATGATAGCCACAAGGTCCTCAGTCCCTGAGCTGTTACTCTCACTCTCCACTTTCTCTCTTACTCTCTACTTGCCATCCGCACTGCCTTTCAACAGCACTTAACCATGTGTGGGTCTCTGAGTAGACCATACTCTCTTTTATCTCTAGTGTTTACATATATCCAGACCATCCATCTCTCTATCTCTTTTTTTTTTTGGTGGTACTGAGGTTTGAATTCAGTACCACCAAAGGCGTGTCTGGCTTTCATCCTCCTTTCAGCACAGCTGGGGCAGGAACTGATTCACAGTGGGACCTAGGACTATCAGATGCATGGAGGGTTGAGATGTGCTCTGAAGTCAGAGCACATGGGTTTTAAATCTGGGTCTTTGCCAGGTATGGTGGTACAGACTGTAGTCTCGGCACTTGGGAAGCTGAGGCTGGAGGATCGCTTGAACCCAGAAATTCTAGGACAGGCTGGGCAACATAGCAAGATCCCTGATTCAAAAGGGAGGAAAGGACTTTGTCTCCTCACCTGACCTGTGTGTGCCCACCTGCTTGTTTAGCCTGTCAGGGCTTGCCATGTGCCAGATGCTGAGTGCTAGGCATGCAGCCAGAGTAATGCAAACATGGCACAAAGACATGTATTGCAGGTGACAGCAAACTGTGACTGAACTCTGTTGAGAGACTAAGAACAACTGGGCTTTAGGGAGGTGGGGAAAGCCTTTCTGAGGAGCCCATTTGGAGGCCGCACAGGTGACAGCAAACTGTGACTGAACTCTGTTGAGAGACTAACAACAACTGGGCTTTAGGGAGTTGGGGAAAGCCTTTCTGAGGAGCCCATTTGGAGGCCGCACAGAGCGGAAAGCAGTTTCTGGCTCTGTGCACAGGGAGCATTGAGGTAGAAAGAACCACAGCTCAGGCCAGTGAAGCTCAGAGCTCTGATGATGGAACCATAATGTGTGGCTCTATGGTGGAAGCCTGGGAAAGGAGGCCAGTTGGAGGTGAAGGGAGACTGGCAGTGGAACCCATTGTGTGACCCTGACAGACAAGGTCTGGCTATGTCCCAAGGGTACTGGAGAGTCACTGCAAGAACCTAAACCTAGAGTGGCTCTGCTCTTGCCTAGGTTGGGAACAGTCATGGAGGCAGAATGGGCCAGGGTTGCTGATGGTTTGGGAGCAGGGATGACTCCTTGGTTTCTGGCTTGAGGGCAGGATGGATGCTGGTGCCATTTACTAGGGAAGATTGGGAGATTAGAATCCCACATTGGCCAGGTGAGCTCAGCCAAGGCCTGGCTTAAAAACAATGCCAGGTGTGTGTGTGTGTGTGTGTGTGTGTGTGTGTGTTTATAGCTATTAATGCTGTCTGTTCTTGGACACTGCTGCTGATTAAAGAAGGAGTTTAAAACATTAGTCTGAAATCTCTTGTACAAAGTTTCAAAGGACACCTGTAGAGAACAACTTGTGGGCTCTGCTCTGGGACTTCCTTCCAAAGAGTACAATATGATAAGGGATGTGTGTGCATGCAACTTCACAGGAAAGAATTCTGGCAAACACTGCCTTAAGCCACATAAGCAAGGTTACCATCAGCAGCAACATCATGGTGACAGCATGTACCCTCCATATGATGCATTGAGAATCGTACTTCACTTTTGTTGTCTTCCTCCAAAACATGTAAGCCTCATAGTATAGTATAGCCATAAGAAAAACATCAGGCAAAGCCTATTCGAGGGATAGTCTACAAAATACTTAATCTGTACTCCTCAAAACTGTCCGTAACAAGGCTAGTGTGAGTTCAGTTGCACAGTGCTTGACTAGTATGTGTGAAACCCTGGGTTCCATCCCCAGCACCCCAAAAGCAGTAACAACAACAAAAAAAACCCAAAGAAATGTCATAAAAAATACAGGCAAAAGCTGGGCGATGGTGGCTCCCACCTGTAACCCTAGATATTCAGGAGTGGAGATCAGGAGGATCACAGTGGGAAGCCCACCTAGACAAATGGTTTGTGAGACCCTACCTTGAAAAAACCCTTCACAAAAAAGGGCTATCAGAGTGGCTCAGGGTGTAGGCCCTGAATTCAAGCCCCAGTACCACAAAAAACAAACAAACAAAAACAGGGAGGTAAAAAATCTGAGACAAGGTCATAAAGGAGCCTAAGAAGACAGAGTCACTAAGTGCAGTGTAGTTATACTGAATGGATTCTGGAATGGACAAAAGACAGAGGAAAACTAAGGGATCCACATAAATATGGACTTGGATTAGTAATGTGTTAGTTATGACAAATGTACCATTGAATGTAACATTTTCACAGTACCGAGAATATGGACAGTGTATACACCTCTCTGGGAATAGGTGGGTGGCTAAAGTGGTAGAACACTTGTTTAGCAAGTGCAAGGCCCTGAGTTCAATACCCAGGACCACCAACAAAATAAAAATAAAAAAATAAAAAAATAAATAAATAAATAAATAAATAAATAAAACCAATCTGGAGTGTGTTTGTGGATTAGATAGGGGTTCTTTTACTTCTATATCTCTGGCTTTTAGGTAATGTCTCTGGCAGCCAAGGGTACTTGTGTCCCATCAGTGCCAAGGTAGAGCATCTCAAAGTACATTCACTTGCATTGTCTCCTGCCTGGCCTCCCAAGAAGCATTTCTACATAGCCCCTTCCTCTCCTGGCTCAGGATGGAGTCTACTCTGTTCCTCCAGCACCTAAGAGATAATGCAGGAATGTAGGTGTTCTGGGGTTGAGAGTCAGTTAGTGGTTTTTTTTATAATACATTTGGATTAGGGACCCTATTTCAGCAGCAAGAGGGTCTTCATTCTGTAAAAAAGATTAACTGTGCTGATGATTAGCCTAGTGGTATCCTTATGCCAAGGATCTGGCAAGGGAAAAGGTTCCTCTTTTATTGGTGCTTACATTCTAGTGCGAGAGACAGATGAATGAATCACTGATGCCAAGGAGTGAGAAGTACTAGTAAGAAAAGAAAGAAGAGTAAGAGAAGGAAAGGCCTCCTGAGGTGACATTTAAGCTGAGAAATAAGGGCACACACCTCATGCACCTGGGGGACAGTAGCATGATGAATGGCTGTGTGAAGGCCCTGAGGTAGAGTGTGCCCAGTATGTGGGAGGAACAGGAGCCAGGGAAGAAAAGTAAGAGGTAGTATAATCAAGCAGGTATGGGGGCCAGGCAAGTGGGCCTTGGCTCATAATCTTAGTGAGGTGGGGGGCCGAGGACAGTTTGTGTCTTTATTTTTTGGCAGTACTGGGGCTTGAAATCAAGGCCTCATGCTTGCTAGGCTTGCTAACCAGGCACTCTACCACTGAGCCACTCCACCAGCCTAAGGACGCCAGGCTCTGCCCTAGTCTCTAGCAAGCCCTTACCTCTGGCACTTGTTCTGGGAGAGAATGTGTATAGGCCGTTGTCCTGGGAGTGTGGGGAAGACCCAGCACTCAGTAAACAGTTTAACAATTATAACAGTTTTATATATAACAGTTTTCAATCTTGGGTCAAAGGAAGGCAGGAAAGTGAACTCATCAAAAGATGGGTCCAAACCCCAACCTCTACACCTGCAGAGGCAAAGAGTCCTTTGATCTGATATTTAGAAGAGAGTAACATGCTTTCAGCTTGTAACCACTTTGGGGATGGAGGGTCCTACAGGAAAATAGGATTTAGTATGGGAATACCAAATTTTTGTGTCTGATCTGTCTACCTCATACTGGGAAAACTACCTTCAGGCCTCTGAGTGGTGTCATGCCATGTCCTGCTGAGGGAGTGGAAAGTTGTGGTGACATAGAAGCCCAAGGCAGTTGGTAAGAAATCACCAGTTTATTGAATGAAAAATCCAACATGGCCCCAGTCCTCCCACCCAACTCCATTCTTGGGTTGGGGAGATGCTCTAGACAGTAGGGCTGGACCTTGGGGAAGGGCTGGAGGAGTCTGGAGGAAGCATGGAGAATGAGAAAAACAGTTACAAAGTGAAGTTCTGTGCCACACTTCAAAGGAACAGAGAGAACAATGAAGAATCCCTGGAGGTGCTGGAGGGCATGGAGCCTGGGTTTGGCTTTGCATCTTCAGCTATAGCCCCGTAACTGGGAAAAGGGAAGGAAGGAGGCTGCTGGAGGGAGACCTGGTAGAGGAGGGGCCTTTGCCCACCACCATGTTAGGGAGGAGGTGGGAAGACAGAGCAGCAAAGGGGAAACAAGTTGACGGGGAAAAGGGAGACACACAGCCAGTGGCAGGGGATCACGGACTATGTGACCTGCCTCTCGCCTCTCAAGGCCAGGCAGAGCCGTGCTGGGTGAGGGGTTGGGAGGCAGAGGAAGAGGCATCACCAACAAGGGAGGAAGCCATAAGGATTGGACCTGTGTACGGAACAAGTCACACAGACAACCAAGGGACTGGCCGTGCAAAAACCAAAGAAACGCTTAGGACACACATCTACAGAGACTTGGGGTGGTAGGAAGTCGTGCGTGGGGAGACTGAGAAGGCTTCTCAAACCTAGAAACACACTGTGGTACTCAGGTGCCCCCTCACCCTTCACTGGGAAGCTGTGGGGCTGGTGAGGTCTCCACGTAAGTGGGAAGAGGCTCCAGTCCCTTTGGAGGTGGGTAGAGTGGGTGGCATCTGGCAGTAGGGCCTTAGAAAATAAAAGCCTGGCGGTGGAACTGGGGTGGGAAGGGCTGCCCTCTCCCGCTGTGGACCAGGATTCCAGGTTTCCTATTTTCAGGAAGGGAATTGGGATCACAGGGGGAAGAAGTGGGGAGCTGGGTCAAGGAAGGCCCAGAGAACTCAATTCCAGGGACTATGGGCATCAGAAGGCAGAACCCATGTGCCCTGGGGCTGGAGCAGAAGGGAGGAGGGCCAAGGAAAAGGAGGGAGGAAGAGTGGACCAGGGATGGGTTGGGAGGTCCCTGGGAGGGGAGGTCTTCATTGGGGAGAGCAGCACCCCCAGTGGCAGTGTCCTTCAGGACTGGGCACATGAGAGGCAGGCCCCAGAGCTGGGAAGGGGTGCTGGGCTCAGGCCTGCTGGCCTCCCCCTGCCCGCAGGCGGTGAGGCCGGGTGGCAAGTGCCAGGAGGGAGAGTGACTGGGAGGAAGGCCTCAGGTGGCCTTGCTGCCACTGAAGAGGCCCACTGGAAAGTGCTTAACATGGGTGGGCCACTGGGCTGCCAGCTGGAAGAACTTGATGTCACTCCACTCGACGCCATCAATGGACACTGGGGATGACAGGGAAGGAAGGGGTGATGGGGCTCTGAATCCATCTCCCTTTTCCTTGGGGAAGATTGGCTCCCTCCCTCACCCCACCATCACTGCCATCATACCTCTCAGCATGGTCTGCTGCTGCTTGGCGGAGCAGATGAGGCGGCTGATGCCTTCAATGACCTGGCTCTTAGAGTCCACCTCCTTTTCCCGGGGTTTCTTGCTCAGGAAGATGGTGGGCACTGCAAAGACAGCAGGAAGCACCTGTTGCAGCCCTGGGGACAGCAGCCAACCCCTCTTCCCCAACCTCCTCAGTTCCTTTCTTCCTCTGGTTGGGGAGGTAATTTTAAAAAAAGCCCACCCTCCTTCCCGCACTCTTTGGCTCTAGCTGTGGGTCAGGATCTCCGAGTTTCTGACTGACTTTGACAAAGATCCCATGTCTCTGCCTGGGCCTCACTAATTTTATCCATACAGTGAGGATCCAGGGCAGATGGTCTCTGAAGTCCCTTCTAGCTGGAATATTCTAGGCCCCTTGGGGCAGGGCCTGCCTCCCTGTCTGGGTGTGCAAACCTGTGGCTGAGGAGTGCTGCAGCAGCTTGTGTTGGCACTAACCAGCCCAATGTGCAGCTCTACTCCACTCAAGGAAGGAGGCAAGGTAGAGTGGGCCCTGCAAGCTGACAGACCTTGTTGCAGTCCAGCAGGTTGTGGCACAGCCCCTGCCAAGTCCCCTCACTCTGTAGAGTGGAGGCACACACAGGAAATGGGTAGCTGCAGGATTCCAGCTGGCTAGAGAGTAGCAAGCTGCCTGAGCAGCAGCCTAGTTATAGGGATTCCTGCCTCACTCTTCCCAAGCACAGGACCCAGGGCCACCCTCCAACTTTGCTTCTAGTGCTTTAAATTGCCCCTCTTATCCACAATGGGCTGTATTCCCCTTTATTCTTTTTTTTACTCTCAATTCTCCTGCCACCAGCTTCCAGCTTTCCCTTCACCTTCATTCTTAAGGCAACTATGTTCCTCTGTTCACGAAGACTCTGAGGATCAGCCTCCAGCGTGGGGTGTGACGGCTCTGCTCTACGATTTCTGTGGCCATGGAACTGGGGCATGAAGAAGGCCCTCCCAGACTTATAGTCAGTCTATCCTGAGGTAACTGCCAGAAAGATTCCTGTCATTCTGCAGCAGCCTCTGTCTCAGCCCTAAGGTGCTGCTGCTCAGCAGCTGGGACCCTGGTTTCTTGTGTTATAGAGGAATGGCCCTGTTCTCCCCCCCCCCGTCCTGCTGGGCCCCAGACCAATCACATGATACATATGCCCCATTCAGAAGCATATTCTGTCTGGACCCTGAGAGAGGGGAGGGGAGCCCTGGTGGCTCCTGGTCTTTCTTGGCCTCAGATGTCACTTACCTTTCTTGTTCTTCTCTTTGGTGACCACAGTCATTGCCATGGTGCCAGAAAGTTGGGCTTCCCCACCATGGGGCAGGCGAGAAACCTGAACTGAGCGGAAGACACTCTTGAGGGTATTCTTTGAGCTGGCATCCCTCTTGTCACCTTCCCTCCTCCGCTCTGCAGGGTGGCCCAGCCAGTAGTCAACCTGGAGGCCGATCACATCTCCATATGGGCTACTGGGACTCCTGAAGAAGGGGAATGAGAACAAAACAATGGTTTTGCCCTCCATACCCACTATATGGGCCAGATGAGGGATGGGGGTACTGCCAGCCTCTGGGAGAGAAAGATGGGGAGGAAAGCCAGCTGAGTGGCTGTGTTCCCTCCAGTCACAAAGAACTGGTTCATGTGGGGTGGAGAATCAGGCTGATCTGAGAACAAAGCCAGGAGAGGATAAAGGCCCAAGTCACAGTAAGGGAACCAAGTAAAATCATCACAGGATGAGAGAAGCAGAGCAGAAGGGTTTGTGAAGGAATGCACATACACATGCATGCACACATGTGCACACAGACACAAGACACTCAGCAAGCAAAGCTGGGGCCCAAAAAGGGCAGAAGGCAGGAGCGGAAGTGCCACTGTGTCTCCAGGGCAGCCTAAGGAGCCAATGATGCTGCTCTGTGCTTTTGCTTATGTATGACACTTAGCTCAGTGACAATTTTAGCTCCTAAGGGGAAAAAAAAAGTGTTTTCTTGTTGAAAGGAGGTGTCAGGCACAATAGATACCTGGGCTAGGAGAGTCATCTGACTTTTCTTTCTGCCTGATTTTAGTGGTTCCATTAAAAAAACAAGCTTAAACTAGATGAGAAAAGAGGTTGAGGTAGGGGTTGGTCCCATGTTCCCTCAATCTATGCTAGACAGAAAACCCTCCTGCAGTAGGTGAGATGAGAGAAAACAGCCTCCCCCCTACCCCAAAACTGGAGTGCCAGGCCCTGGGGCAGAATGTAGCTGTGATCCTACATTGTTCCTTCCAGACCAATCAGAAGTAGATTATGGAGGGCATGAGAAGAGGAAGGAGGACTCATTGGTGCTTCTGGAAAAGCTACTGGTCAATGCCTCCCTCTCAAGTGTTCAAGGAAAGAGGTGAAGGCAGAAGAGAACAGAAAGGATGCTGCTTTCTGCTCTTGATCATGGCCTGCTTTTCTCTTGCCTGGAAACCTCTCTCCTCCATCCCTCTGTGACCATCTTCATCCACCCTTCTTCAGGCACAGCAGAAAAATGGCTCCTTCCCTGGTCCTCCATCTTTAGATATCTGAGATCCTGAAGAAACACCCTCTCCTAACCATGCCCTATAATCTCAGTTACAAGGTCTTTGCTGCCTCTGTGCCGAGACCCAGTCTAGAACCTGAGCTAGAGAACAGGTGCCACAAGCCATTGGCTGCTGCAGCTGCAGGGACTCGAAAGGACTGGGTGCATGAAAGGTACCATTCTGCAGCAGGCCCCACAATGACACTCTTTTCCTATTTAGGTTGTACAACCTAAATAGGCAGTCAGTTTAACTCTGCTACTTGCCCAATTAACACAATGGACAGAGCCACTCAAACCCAGATGTGCTTTACCTCCAAGCCCACACTCTTCCTACTGAGAGGTTCCTTAACCAGACACCTACATCACACTTCACAATCTACAAAGGGCCTCCCTGATAGTACTGTCCCATCTGACTCTACAACTCTGTGAGAAAGACATAGTGAACCTCCTCCCACTTCACTGAGCATCTGATGACTCAGGCTGACAGGCCTCCAAATTCTAACCCAGTGTTCTCTTCCAGTAAGGCTGACTTAGATCAGTGTGCCATGCCTGGGAAGTCAGGTTGTTAGGCCCTACTGGGGGGACATGGCAGGACAGACAGGTGCAGGAAAGAGCCTTACCCCACAATGGCAAGAGCACTGCTCATGGATGGGGAGGAAGGAGGGGTGGCTGTAGCATCTCTGCTCAGGCCTGAGCTGGAGGGTGGTGATGTGGAGGGAACAGTAAGGTTGACCACAGGTGAATCATCCCCATCACCTGTCAAGAAGACAAACACAGTTGACTAGAGGCAAGTACCCCTGACATGCTGGTGTGATCTCTTCTCAGAGGCAGTGTTATTTTCTTCCTGGGCTCCAGCACTCTCTTGCCTCCCCTCCCAGGGTGGGGAGAGAGATCCACATCTTCCTGCTCAAACTGCCTTCCCAACACATCCAGTACCTTCAGCTTTTGGCTTGCTGGACCAGAGAGAAGACTAGACAGGTACCCATAGAAGCAAAGGAGCCAGGCTTACCTGCAGTGGAGGGTGAGTCTTCAACCAGGCCTACCTTCACCACCTGGAGGGGGAAGGGACACTTGTTAGGGCCTCCATCAAGTCAGCAGGCTCTGATCCAGGTGCTAGCTGCTTACACCACAGCCATGACCACATGGGTCTGAAAATGTTTACATTCAGGAGCAGCCCAGGGCTTAAGAGACAGTGGTGGTGGGGGTATCATTGGGCTGGCAGAGTGGCTCAAGTGGTAGGCTCTGAGTTCAAACCCTAGTACTGCCAAAAGAACAAAATCACAACAAAAAACTCCAGTCCAGTGGCTGGGGGTGCAGCTGGGTTCCTGGGTTCCATTTCTAGCACCAAGAAAAGAAAAAAAATAAAAATAAAAGAAGCCTAATTCAAACAATGAGATATGGTGGTTCTTCCCTATGGCCAGGGGTAAAGTCCACCTTGAAGACAGGAACCATGTTAGTGACCTAAACTCATTTCTTCTATGATTACATGCACAGGGAGCCTTGCAAGCTGCTGCCTTTGTGTCATTGCAGAGATCTCTGTGCAACCCTGTGAACAATGTGCTGAAAATGATCACACAGTCCTTCCCCTTTCAGCCTTCCTGAATCTGGAACTCACAGAGGAAAGTCTCAGGAATTTTAAATTCCTCATAGATAATTCTGGAGAGGACAGTGGGTGACCTCCAGTGGTCAAAAAAAGGTGCAGCTAGAGACAACTCAGTGACTGTCCCCTGTGGTCTAAATGACAGGTGGGGCCCTGTGCCTTTGCACCTGAGCCAGCCCCAGACAGAGGAGCATCTGGGCTGGAAGCAGAGTGCAGAGCACTGGGCTGGGGCTGCTGGGGCAGAGATCATGTACATCCTCCCTGCAGGCAGTCCCTGGAGAACAGCTGGCTGGGTCCATTCACTGACCAAAATACTAATCAATACTCTGGGGCTTCCTGGATCAGTTCTCTTCTCCCCTTGCTCCTCTGGCATTTTGGGAGGTTTCTAGATCCTTTAGTTTTTAAAACCCAGGGCCTCACACATGCTATATCTCCTTAATACATTTTAAAAAATTCTTTAATCTCTCACTTGCCTGTGAGACCACAGTGAGCAGCAACTGAGGCCCTCCCCCCCCACCACTCCCTTGGTTCCATGAGGCCTGAGTTACACTACTGGTTTGGGGCTGTTGTGTAGCTATGGGAGCAGCCCCAGAGCTAAGGAGGCAGTAACTGCACTATCAGATGTGAGGGGCAAAGCCAAGAATGGCTGCTTATTTTCCCAGCTGAAGCCACTCGAGATACCCACAGGCTTGGATGCTCTGTGATCATGGACAGTGGGGAACTAAGGCCTCGTGTCTGCCCTTTCTCCTCTAAAAGCTATGAGGGATCCTCAAGAAGATTTCAAAAAGTGATATATATGAGGTGATTCCAAAAGGAAATCAGAATGGTGTGTAAGTGGAAATGCAAGCTTTCAGTCCTTTTCCATGAGTAATCCATCGCCTCTGGACCCCCTCTAAGTGCCTTTGGCCAAATGAACAGACCAAAGGGCCAGTAATCTAATACCAAAGACATCCATGAGGTTCCTCCTTTATTTCAAATTTTCTAAATTGACTTTTCCTGCACTAAATAGAAAGGAAGAGCTTCTTCCTCTCAGCAGTCCATCTGACCCTGGGACCTCTCCTGGAATAGTATGCTCCACTATTTCTGAGGCCACTTCCTCTTCCCTGATCCTGAAGAAGTCATGTTCTGGACATTCCTCCAAAGGTCCACAGGCACTAAGTTCAGGGCCTGGGTAATAAACAGGAAACACCAGTGATGAATTTGGGAATCGTTTGTGATTCAGGAGAAGAGGACTCTAAAAGGGACAGCTCAATGTGTCCTGGCCCAGAGCTTCTCCACCTGCAATACTGACCTTTGGCCACATTACTCTCTGGTATGGGGACTGTCCCGTGCATTACAGGATGTTCAGCAGCATCCTGGCCTCTTTCATTGGATGCCAGGAGCTTCCCCACCCCAGTTGTGATAATCAAAACTGTCTCCTGGTGCTGACAGATATTCCTGGGGGAGAGGGGAGAATCTACCCCATGACACCACTGTTCTGGATCAATCTTATTTTTGTGTGTATGAGAGGGCGGGCAGAAAGGCTGAGAGATGGGGGTCAGAAGAGGGGAGTTAGTACTCACACCAATGAAAGGAATAAACTTCTGATAGGAGTCTTCATCAGGGCTGTTGGGAGACAGGAAAGCTTTACACTTAGTGGGTGACTGAGCAGGGCACTGGAAATAAGCTTTTCACATTGTACTGTGATTCATAGGAGTCTATAGCATTGCAGCACATCTTCCTGTTACATTGCAGGGTGTCAGGAGGAGGGTCTGTTACTCATTGTACATATAGAGTGCACAGAATAGGGGCAAAAGAAACAAGTGTGCAAACCACATCACCCACTCCTGAGGGTGATTTCAGTCAATGAGGGAGTAAATAAAACTCATCCCCATGCGGGTGGAGCCTGGGGCAAGGAGGGAGTGCCTGGATGGGAGGCAGTAAAAGACACAGGCATCCTCATGGGCTCCTGTAACAGGAGATGGGGTATGGAGGAGAAATGAAAAATGGAAGGACTCAGGATTCCCTTCCAACCTGTTTTTAAGAAACCTCCCAAAGTCAGACTTACAACTTGTGCCTACAGGTCAGCATGGCTTCAGCCACAGGCAGCTGGTGCGTTGTAGCTGCTCCGTTGATATACTGCATCACACGCCCCACCACGTCCAGTGGCTCTGCAGAAAAGCCAGAGGGAAGTATCTGTTCATTTCAGCTGGCAAACCCTTGACTCCCTGGAGAGCCCTACCCAAGCCACAGGTGAGGACCTGTACAGCTGAGGGAGAAATGGCTCTGAGATCTCCTTGGCTGGAATCAGAGGACTCATAAACCCAAGCACAGTCCTCTCCCTTCCATCTCAGCTGCATTCTGCTGTTGCCACACCACTGGATGTTCAGGAGGTCACCTGCTGGCATGGTGTCACTCACACATCAAGAGACTGGTGAATGATTACTCTCTGTTGCCACTATTTCATCTCTACAAGCAGAACTGACCCATCCTCCAGCCTAGCACAGCCTCCTTACTGCTAGGTGAGCAGGTCCACAGCAAAGACTGCCCTGAAGAAAGGGCTACATAGACTCAATCTCCATTGATGGACACTCACTGGGAAAGTAAACCCACACAACAGCCAGCAAAAAGAGCGAGACAAACAGGGAGAAAAATCTCCCCTTTAGCTGCAGCTTGTTCTCAGGAATCAGGTGCCTCACTCCTGGTGGGGGCTCCTTTACTAAGAGCCCTTACCTGACACTGGAGGCTCTGAACGACTGAACAGGTCTCTCCAGGCAGAATCAAGGAAAGTACTGCTATATCTACTGTCAACTGAGCCCAAGTATTTGGCCACTGGGTGAGAACCTGGCAGAAAGAAAACCAGAGAAAGTGAATGGGTTAGTAAATGGAATAGCAAGAGGAGTTGGCCCATGCATGGCTCTGACCTTTGGACTCTCTGACAGTCCAACTTCCCATCCTGCTATAGGAGCTAGATCTGCTTGTAGAGGTCTTTGGTCTGCCACACCCTCCTGGATGCTGTCCAACTTTACCAAGGGGAATGATGAGGAAGCGCATGTAGCTCAGCCAGTCAGAGGTCTTGCTGGCCAGGGACTTGACAAAGAACCGGAGGATGGAGCTCAGGTAACTCTGGCCTCCCACGGCTGCTACCTTGACCGGCCTTGGCATGGACGAGTTGCAGTTGCAGCTGGGGAGAAAGGGGATCTTTACATACCACAGTGGAGCTTGGCAGGATCCTGCTCAGGGCTGGACCCAAGCTCTGACTTCACACACCTCAATAACCCACAGAGGAAAGCAAACCAACAAACAATGCGACACAGAGAGGCAATGAGTCACAGTGCTGCTAAGAGGGCAAGCAGCTGCCATCTAGGAGGCCCGCAGTCAGCATGGGCCCAGATGTCTGGAATCCCCTCAGTCTGCTATACAGCAGGCTCTAAGAAGCACTGGAGAGGGAAAGCACTAACTCCCAATCATTAGAGCATGTTACAGCTAGAGGGACAGGTAAAAGATCTTTTTAAAATGCTGGGTTCTCTCTTCCTCATCATGTTATTTTTTTTTTTTTCCAGTACTGGGGTTTGAACTCAGGGCCTACACCTTAAGCCACTCCACCAGCCCTTTTTTGTGAAAGGTTTTTTCGAGATAGGGTCTCTCAAACTATTTGCCAGGGTGGGCTTTGAACTGCAATCCTCTTGATCTCTGCCTCCTGAGTAGCTAGGGTTAAAGGCATAACCCACCAGGGCCTGGCTTATCATGGGTTTAAGAAAGGAATGGAGGCAAGTCAAGGTGTGGCGAGGTAGAGGGTACAGGAGTTGACAATCAGGGGCACTGAGCACTACAGTCTGCTGCTATTGCCCCCAAGTACACCTCTGATCTGATGTTTCCTGGTCTGATTAGGCCAGGAGATCCTGCCACTGCTGGAAGTCAGGGTGGGAGGATGAGACAAAGGGAATCCCAAAATGGCAGGATAGAAAAGGCCAGAGCCCTTACTAGCGCTGAATCCGGGTGAGCAGGGTGGACAGCACAGCTTGGACCTCCACGGTAGAGCAGGTGCAAACAACAGGCTTTCGCTGATCCTGAAGCAGCTCAGCCACATACTGAAGGGAGGAAAAGGGCAGGAATGCAGGTAAGGCCACATCATTCCCCACAGGTACCTGACTCCCGTCTTTTGGCCAACACTGGACAGAAGTAGTCAGGTTTCCAGGCTGTGCATAAAGAGGATGGCCAGATCCCATGGAGACATGCTGACTATGAAAAGTGTATGTGTGTGTATGTGTGGATGCTTAGGGACTTAAAACTTTCACCCATGTCTAGGAGTCCTGGAACAAGTGTCTCACAGGGAGAATGGCAGTGAGGGATAGGCAGGCTGCCGTACCACTGCTAAATCGCCTTCACAGAAGCCAGGGGCAGCTTCTGGCATCTTAGAGCTTCCTAAAGCCCCTCCACTGAGGGTGCCTGCCTGATGCCCGTGGTAACCTGGGAGCAGGACAGACTGAATGCCTGCTGCTTACTTTTTTTTACAGATGAAGCTAGGTACAGAAAAGTTAGTGACTTAAGATCCTCTAGGTTGAACAAAAGATAAAAATAAGACTATAACTCAGAGCTCTGGGCTTGGCTCAGGTGGGTCTGAGAGACAGGTAACCCTACTGTCTCACTCATCTGTAGAACCCTTTCCCCCTGTGGTCCAATGCTTTACCTGGCCCTGCCAGTCAGTGGTGTTCACCAGGATGACATTTTCTGGGAGGGCTGCATCAGACACCAGGATCTGATTCAGTTGGTCGTACACCACCTTTCTTGGAATCTGTAGGGACAAGTATCTGTCAGGCACTGACCAGGGGTGGGGGACAGGGGTATTCAGAGGGCAGATTCCAGGAAGCAGTCACTTTCCGTTGTCAGACCAAACTGGAGATACAAAGGAAAAAGAACAGAGTCCTTGAAGACCACACTAATATACCAAGCATGAAGCCACAGTGTGGTCTTGCCGGGGACAGCCCCTGAGGCAAGGGTGTGGTGCCACGATGGCAGAAGTGGAGGGGTGAGAGTTGTGAGCAGTGCTTGCAGAAAGGCAGAAAGGGCAGTGGGGAGAGAAATAATGAGAGCAGTAGCCACACTGCAGGGGACCCAGGCACCATGGAACAAAAAAGGTATTTCAGGAACTGATTAACCAGAAGGACAATAACTCACTCCAGGTGCTGAGCTATTCTAGTCCCAGGTTCATTTGCAGTTTTACGATAGCATCCAATTCAGGAAGCCATACTGACCCAAACTTGCCTCTCCATAATATTTACCAGGGAAATGAGTAGACTGCTTAACTCCAGGAGAACTTGGGAGAAATGCCAGCTCTGAAGCTTGGGAAGGCCCCTTCCCCAAGTCTGATCCCACTGTTTCTTCCCAGCTCTTCTCCAGTACCCTCAGGCTGGAGTGGCTTGAAAGAACCCTCACAGCTGTCAGAAGGGAAGCAAGTCCAGCATTTCTTGTGCTCTCTCCCTTCCACAGATCAGCCTGAAGCTCAATTCCATACTAGCAGTGAAAAACAAATGTGGGCTTCTCTAATTTAGGTCTTTCATTAAGTCTTTTCATTCACAGCACTTCAAGTATTCCTCCTTTCCTTTCCATCTAGCTGTCCAAGGGAAAAAACAAGACAGACTAAAGCTCAGCCAGTCTGGTGGGCCCTGGTTTTATTGGGGGACCTTGAGTACCTGTGTGCTGTGGCCCAGGTCAGGTGAGCGTTCACTATCTGAGCTGTTGGTCCTCTCACTCAAGGGTTTGGAGAGCTGCCGCTCCTTCAGAGGTGTGCTCCTCTTTTGCCGGGGTGTGTGTGTCCCTTCCACTTTGCTGATGGGCGAGGGAGGTGGTTAAAAACTTCAAAGCCATGCCAGCACTCACCCTCCCATTCCCTCCCAGTAATGGAGCCTGTGCTGGGTGTGGCTGAAGGTCTGTATCACTTGTTTCCTTCTATTGTGAGTACCTGGGGGAGGCAGAGCCCTGCAGATCTGTTTTGCTGGACTTCATGGGAGTTTTGACTTTTTCTGGCACAACCAGACTCGTGCTTACATCTCCAAACATGTCCTGGTCAGTGATTTCCTGCCATGAGGATGGAAGCAAAGAAGGTTACCTTTCACTCGATGACTACCCAGGAGCCTCCAGAGAGCCCTGCCAGGACCCATCTCCATCATGAGGAGTCATTCACTTGGCTATCTTCCTGGAAGCACATGGTTCTAAAATTCCTACCTTGCCCAATGGAAAACTTCTCTTTAAGTTAACTGAGTGCTCCCACTATGCTGGACACTATATGTTCCCATTCAGCTCTGCCTTCCACACTCACAAATAGTCCATGAACACATTGATGACAGGCTCTATACGAATCTTCCTAGATTCTCATGGGGACACAGTATCCCACCAGGGCAAAGCCTGTGGTCTGGGAAGTTTGTGAGGTTTGGAGCTGCATTCTTCACCTTGGCCTGAACCATCCTGCAATACCTTGAAATTAACACTTCCTTCCCATCCAGGTGATGAGGCTACTGCCCACACACTTTCATATCCACTCTCCTTGGTGCCCCCATGCCCATGTCCTTCTCCCACTCTCTGAGTTCAGGCCTTTGACTTTCCTAGATCACTTTTCGACAATCTTTTTTGTGTGTGTGTGTGTGTGTGTGTGTGTGTGTGTGTGGCAGTACTGGGGTTTGAACTCAGGGCCTCATACTTACTAGGTAGGTACACATCTAGTCTATTTTGTTTTGTTTTTGGTTTTTGAGACAAGGTCTCTTTTATGTAGCCCATACTGGCCCTGAACTCATGATCTTCCTCCTTCAGTCTCCTGAGTGTTGGGATTACAGGCATGTGGCACTATGTCTACCTACTTCAACAGTCTTCATGAGCTTCACATCCCCTCCTCAAACCATCCAGTCTACTAACATCAGGCTGACTTCTCAAAGAACAAAGGATTCAAACAGCATGAACAGCCAGCTTTGTGCTTCCTCTGTGGGCCTTTGAGGCCTTTCCTGACCTGGTCCTGTCCACCTTTCTAAAATAATCCCTATACTCTGCCCAATCTATTTCCCTAATACTCTTACCCCCTAAAAGATTTTGCTCCCCACATGTGCCAAGTGCCTGTTTACCTCCCTGCATCTGCCCTTTATATTTTTAAAATGTTGAGGAGTAACTCAAATTTAAGATATATATATTTGAATTTTTGTGGTGCTAGGGATGGAATCCAGGGGCCTCAAGCATACTAGGTAGTGCTCTACCCCAAGCTACACCCTCAGCCTAAACTTGAATTTTTATATAAGTATAGCCCCAGGGACCATTAACCAGATCAAGACAGAACATGCCAGGGCTGGGGGTATGGCTCAAGTGGTAGAGCACCTGCCTAGCAAGCTGAAAGCCCTGAGTTCAAATCCCAGTACTGCCAAAAATAAAAAAAGAACATTCCACCACAGCTGAAGGGTCCCACATGCCCCTTCCCACTCCTGGAAGTATGAAGTATCTTCACTCATGCCATCATAGACTAGTTCTTCCTGTTTGTGAATTCTGAATTCCACATAAATGGAGTATCATATCATGCATTTTTTGGTGTTTGGCTTCTTCTCCTCAACACTAAGATTTGATCAATCATTGGAGAGGTTTTTTTCGTGGTACTGGGGGTTAAACTAAGGGCTTCACATTTGCTAGGCAAGCACTCTACCAGCCCCCCTCATTGGAGAGTTTTAGTCAAGAAGTGACATGATTAGAATTTGATTTTGAAAAGATCATGAGTAGTTATGTAAATAGATGGGGCAAGAGTGAAGGGTGACGGGGGCTGGTGGAGTGGCTCAAGTGGTAAGAGTGCTTGCCAAGCAACTGTGACGCCCTGAGTTCAAACCCCAATATCACAAGAGTAGAGGCTGCTTATTCAGATTACTGGTGAACTATAAAGTACAAGTTAGTATGGTAGGATTTAAATTAATACCAAGTCAAGCCTAACATTTTATTATATTCAAGATGTGTGATACAGTATTATTTACTATAGGAAACACAGGCCTAATATAACTCTTTCTTGGACTCCATTCAACCACCTGAAAGTCTTACTGTGCAGTTCATGAATGGCACGTCCCCAAATGACATTCTGTAAAGTCCCCTGGTCCTTCCCACCCAGTGTCCAGCTCTCCATCCCACTGGCTGAATTTCAGGGTATCCTTTGAGCAAGACCAGCTCAGACAACCTCTTCCCAGTCTATATCCCCTGCAATTCTCAGGGCCTCCACAGAACATTACCCCAGGTGTATACAAGTGGCTTCCCTGGAGATGGGCCATCTTTGTATTTTCGGTGCTCAGCACCAGCAGGTGCACTGAAAATGCAAGGTTTAACTGCTGATTCAATGTCACTTCTTGAGGGCTTTGGCCTAAGCTCCTGGGCAGCTCCAGCATTTTCTGAAAGAAGGCACTGACCAGTGACTACTGGAGACTTAATGTTGTGGTCTGCCTGTCCACTGAAGGAGCAACACCCAATGGAGAAGGGACCACTTTTCAGGGAAGACACTTGAGGGTGACATCAAGAATTTACTCCAAACTAGCATTTGATTAGCTCAAATTAAAGGGCCGAAAGGGAATATTTTTGGTTTGCCAATTTAGGAAATGACCTAGTCTCTAGAGCAGGTGCCAAGAGAACAGGAGAAAGATTTCAGGAGAAAGAGAACATGATTTAGGCATAATTTCCAACATAATCCTGAGGGTCTTTTGGGGCCTTTATTTCTAAAGGTACAAAGACTATTTGAGTGGTTGAAATAGGAAACGGAACCATACATACGAGAGTGTCTGTTTCGGTCAAGCTGTCATCTTGGTTTTTAATCCAAGTAGATTTGACTTTTTCTAGAGCAGCCAATTCCATCTGCAAAAATTGTAAGAATTAGTTATTTCTTATCCAAATAACTGTCACTCTAACTTGTTTTACCTAGTACCTAAGAAGCTTAAAACACTTTCATTTAATCTACCTCTTAACATCTTTAGTGCTTTCATCTTACAAGGGGGATATTTTTGTGAAAACTTAAGCTTTAGAGGGGTTAGGTTTTTTTTTTAATCACAAAGGTAGAACCTCAAAGTTCTGACTCCCACAGATGTTACTAGGGAAGAAGGGCTCAAAGTCAGAAGACTTTGCTATTGGAGCCATAAAGTCTTTGCTTCAGTGAACACTCTTGACACAAAGGAACATATGGGACCAACTTTGCTTGCCAGAAAAGGTCTTTCATTTTGAGACGAAAGACATTCATAGTAGCCAAATGTGTTTTTCTTGGTAGGAACATTCAGGAAGTCCTCTAACAGAATATATTAAACAAAAAGATGCCCAATGTGAAGCCATTTAGCTACGAATTCTCTATTTGTCTCAAATCCTATTAGCATTTCTCATAAATATTAAAGTTTATTTCGAAGATACAGATAACATAACCAGATCTTAGACATCTGCGTGTAGACACCAAAAAGCCACAGTCATGAACAGTGTGGGCTATGGGCTACAAATGTTGAGAAGGTACTAGTCTCAGTGAATCTCTTTTTCCAAAGGAACCAAAGGAGGCAGAAAATATACAGGATATCCCACTTCCTCTCATTTACACTAAGTCCTTTCTCTGAGTAAACTATGTAACACTGAGAAACATCAGGCTAATAAGCTTGGGGTGGGGGAGTCGCTAATGAACAAGACAAGAAAGTAGGCCCCTATGTCGTCCTCTAAGTCAGGATTTCTCCCCCTCAGTTCTGTAGACATTGTGGGCAGGATCACTCTTGGTGGGGGCAGCTGTCCTATGCACTGTAGGATGTTTAGCAACATTCTTGGTCTCTACTTACTTGATGTCTGTAGCAGTTCTCCTTAATGGTGACAACTTAAAATGTCTCTAATCATTGCCAAAATGTTCCCTGGGAGGCAAAATCATCTCCAGTGGAGAACCATTACCCAAAGGCATCTGTGAGACAAATTCACTATATCTTAAGCTAGATCCTGTGACCTCAGGGCTTGAGATTACATGGCACAGCCTGTGTGATGGCTTACAACCACACAGAACAGGCTGCCTTCAGGATACACAGCTAGCCATTTACATGTTGTTTACATGATTAGCCAAAGTTAACAGAGTCTAGAAGCCCAGAAAAGTCCTGCTCAGACCTAAGACTTTTGGATCTTAGCATGAACTAGGATGATAACAAATTCCACTGGGTGGTTTTAAAGTAGCACGCCTTGTTGTCAAGTCCTATGACAGCTAAAGGTTGTTTCCACAGCACAGTGGCAAAATTTGATAAGCTCTACCCCCTTCCAGGTTTATTAAAGTGCAAATGACAAATAAAAATCAGAACAAACTCCCAACCCTCCAACATTCTGATCCTGCTCCTATAAACATGAAGGGATGGGCTAGGGAATTAACTCAGTGTTAGGGCACTTGCCTAGCATGTATGTGCCAGCTCCTGGGTTTGATCCCCAGCACTGCCAATAACAGGCTCATGCCTGTAATCCTAGCTACTTGGGAGGCTGAGATTGGGAGACTCACAGTTTGAGATCAGTCTAGGCAAATAGTTCTCAAGACCCCCCTCTCCAAATAACTAGAGCAAAATGGATTGGAGGTGTAGCTCAAGTGGTAGAAGATGAAGTCCTAAATTCAAACGGAAGGAAGGGAGGAAGGGAAGAAAGGAAAAGAAGGAAGATACAAAGGGCTTTTCTCACCCAGGACCTACAGTAGCCCTGTACTGCTCCATCTGTATCTGCCTAACTGTTTGGCACTGGAGGTGTCTCCTGAGGTCCTAGGCGAAGTGAGTGAGTGAGTGAGTGAGTGAGTGAGTGTGTGTGTGTGTGTGTATGTGTGTGTGTGTAAAATTGAAGTATTAACCTCTAACACTATCACTGGTGTGCTCCGGAAATAGCAGACAGCCTCAGGCAGTCTGAACTGAAAGTCTGCACCTCGGGCTGGCCACCTGAAACACTGCCAGGCTCTATTGTTAGAGCTTGGAGAATCAAATTATGTTGCTACTGTGCTCAAGTCTTGAGAAAATGCAACTGTAATCATTTCTATCAACAGAAATTCTTTCTGGTTCTAGTGCTAAACTGAATTCTCTGATAATCTGGAGAACAAAAAAGAAAAGATTCAGAAAAACAACATGGGAGGCATCAGTACAAGGATCATGGTCCAAGGCTGGCCCCTGGCAAAAACATGAGTCCCTGCCTGAAAGATAAACTAAAGCAAAAAGGACCAGAGGCATGACTCAAATAGTAGAGCACTTGCCTAGCAAACATAAGGCCCTGAGTTCAAACCCTAGTTACACCAATCAATCAATCAATCATCAATGGGGATGGTGAGATACAGCTCAGTAGTAGAACCCTTGCTTAGCAGGCACAAGGCCCTGAGTTTGATTCCCTGCAAAAAGAAAATAAAAAGTGAATAAGCAATAATGCTCAGCAATAGGGATGAGAGGCCACCAGGTGAGGCAGCATCCATACAATCAAACGCTTTTCCTCATCCACTAAAGAGCCCAGACTTGTGCTGCTGATTTTAAAGCTTCTCAGACCAAAGGATTTCACAGTTTCATATCAACACTGAGACTTCTGGGGCTCTTCAAAAGAGAAATCTCAGCAGGAGAAAAGCAAAAGTGAGTCTGAGGTCAAGACAAGGGAAATAGGAATTTGAAAGATGTCACATAAAAGACAATTTTAGGAGTCCAAAACTGAAAAGGATCTAAGAAATTATAATAATAAAAGCAATGGCAGCTGATACCTACTGCAGGTCCCAGAATCGCAAAGCAATCAGTCAGCACACACCCTGCTAGAGGTCTGACCTGCATAATCTCACTGCATCTTCACACACAGCCTTGTGAGGCATGCACCTTTTACACCTACTTTGCAGTTGAGAAAATGAAGATTTGGGCGCTTGCCCAAGGTCAGTCAGTGGAATGATGGCGTCAAGATTCAAACTCAGAGCTGGGCATGGTAGTACATGCCTATTAATCCTAGCACTCAGGAGGTTAAGGCAGGAGGATTGTGAATTTGAGGCCAGACTGGGCTACACAGCAAGACCCTGACTCACAAAACAGTAACAAAAAAGATTCAAACTGAGACATTTCACTCTTCAAATACATTTTTCACCTAAACAGAAACTTTGAGGCTACTACATTGTAGAAACTGATAGTCCATTGACTTTTGAGCTAACTGGCTCCCCCTGACATCCTTAACAAATAAGGCACCTGGGGCTCAGAGAATCAAGGTAATTTTTTTCTCTAAATATCGTAAACCATGTAACTGAGATGAAAGCAGAGCCTATAGCCCAATTCTGTCAGCACAGAAGCACCCTGTTTTGTATGAAATAGTTCTGCTTGCTGACTTAGTAACAATGATTACTAGCATTTATCAAGCACTCACGATATGGGAGATGCTACGCTTAATGCTTCTTGGGCTATGGCTCAGTTAACATCTCACTTATACTTTGTCACAGTAACACAGTTTGGCATTCCTAGAACACCATGCAGCAGCCCTTCCTCAACCACGCTCCAGGCTTCTTTCTAAAGAGTTTCCCCTTATACTTGGATGGAATCTGGCTCAATCCACGGTGACAATGATATTCAACAGGGCCATCTGGCAGCCCCCTGTGAGGAAAAGCACCTGGGATGCTCCTGGGACCCACATCCTAACACTGACAGTATACTAACTGTGGCCTCCTTAGCTCCAGAACCTGGGCTGGGAAGGCACTGGCAATGCTGCTCTGGAGTGGCAGGCCTGATGTTTCTCTGCTGGGGGCGTCTGGACATGGGCTACAGTTTTCCTTCCTGTATTTACTCAGTAACACTCCCTGGTGCAGTTTGTGGTGGGTTTGGTGGCCCAGCTGTACCTTAACCAGAAGAGGGAAAAGATGAGAGACAACCCCACCTGGTGGTGGCAGGCAGAAAGGCAGTCTGAGATGCTCAGAGATGCACAGGTAGACAGGAGCCAGCCAAACCACAGACTGTGCTTTTCAGCAGAGGGAATGCTTCACATCTTCAGATCATCTTCTCACAGTTAATACCGATTTGTAGGGTGAGCTGTGTATTCCCTGTGGTGAACTAATGACTTTATGTGTCATCTGCCACCAAAGCAGCAAGACCAGAGGTCTTAAAAGATTGGGTTTTTCTCATCAATAAAAAAGATGTGCTCCACAGCACTCCAGAGCTGTACTCTGAAATCATAAACAACGTCCACTTGCCTTTAGTTGTGAACGAAGGGAAAACAGCTTCCCCAGGTTTGAGATAGGCTCAGCATCACTGGGGCTCCTGTCTGTGCCTGGCTGCTGGGAGTCATAGCAGACAGTTCTTCTCTCCCATTCAGTAGACAAATGGAAACCTGGCCACTGAATTCTACATTCTTAGGACTGGAGCAGTGGCTTGAGGGGCAGAGCACCTGCCTAGCAAGCATGAGGCCCTGAGTTCAAACCCCAGTATGCAAAATAAATAAATTATACATTCTTCTAGGGCACTGCTCCCCTCTGAATTTTCTACCCAGCAGAGCCTACTTAAGATCTCCTGGACAAACTTGGTGAGCCTCTTTGCCCCTAGTAACTGTTCTTTCCCCAGTATGGAAGGCAGAATCATTTTCCCCTGGCCGAATGCCTGCCCCAAGTCACAGACTCTCACATATGTAGTGGACAGAAAGGGGAGGTTCTGAAGTGGGAGGGAAGGCTCCATGCCAGGTAGGAACAGACGAACAAGAACAACACGTGACCTGACAGAGCAACGCCCTCTGAGCACTAAGCTCCTGGCCAGGGATGAGGGGAAGAAAACTGGGGGTATTCTTCTGAGGTCCCAGAAGGAGCCATGCTCAGAAGTGGGGGCCTCAAGTGTGAAGACAACATGCCAGGTCCCTCGCCCCACCCCTCATAGCCACTGATCTGCTCACAGGGCTGGTGGTGTCTTTTCCGAGGCTGCCCTTGCTGTTGAGGCTGCCAATCTCCGTCTGTGAGCTGGACTGCGACATCCCCTCAAAGAAGGGCCTACGGCGAAGAAGCACAGCCGGGATCAGTGACGACCATGGCTCAGAACAGTAGCTCATGAGAGCTGAGTGAAGCTGGTGCTCAAGGCAGATCAACAGCCTGGACATCTATGATACCTGGTGAGGAAGGACACTGTGGGGTGGAGAAGTGTGGCCTAGGTTGAGGGACTTTTGGAGAGTCCTATTAGTACTTTTTGTCAGTTAGAAGCAAAAAGTGATCTCTTCCAAGGTTGCTGGAGGCTCAGAAAGGAGGACTGTCATGCTTGTAGTCCCAGGTACTTGGGAGATAGAGACTGGGAGGATTGCAGTTTGAGGACAGCCCAGGCAAAAGTTAGAGAGACCCCCCACCCCCATCTCAACAAATAAGGTGTGTGTGGTGGTACATGTCTGTAATTCCAACTACATGGGAGGTATAGGTAGGAAGATTGAGGTATGAGGCTGGTCTCAACAAATACGCAAGATCCTACCCAAAAAATAACTAAAGCATAAAAGGGCTGGGGTTATGGCTCAAGTGGTAGAGTGCTTCCTAACAAGTGTGGGGCCCTGAGTACAAATCCCAGTGCTGCCCCCCCCAAAAAAAGGCTGAACTCTAAGTTTCTGAACAGGGTGGTGAGGGACGGTGCATGGAGCACTAGGCCTGGGGAGGAGAGGTGTCAGGAGGCAGCCTACAGAGAGCTCTGGGCCTCACTTGAGCTTGGGCTTTGGAGTGCTGAGGATGCTCTCTGTCTCCTCCATCTCGGGGCCGCTGTCGCTGGGGTTGTACATCTCCAGACTGTCATACAGTTCATCCAGATCCTCTTCTACCTCCCGAATCTGCTCCCGGGATACATGCTCCAGCCCGAAGCCTACCTGACGTGGAAAAAGGATCTTTCAGTTTGAGGTTCTCCCTATTAACAATTACGGTAAAATGAGCAATTCCCTTTTCCTGGGCCAAATGTCAATCCCCAGTACTTCCTCTGAGAAGACATAGCAGTGCCACACTTGTTGGAGTAGTCTTCATGTCCTTTCTGTGGTCCAACCCAGCAGGGGTGTGGTGAGCTACCTTCCCTCTTGTTTCCTCCTGACAGCCATACAGGGCCTTCACCAGGAGGAAGAAAGAGTGCTGACATGCCTCCAAAGGAACGGCCACAAGAAAACCCAGAAGCCAGGCCTGGTGACCTCCTCTGAAGCCCACAGAGGAACGAAGACCCTCTCTATAGATAATTTTCATCTTTAATTCTTTCTTAGCTCACTGAGAAGCCTGTGAAGACTGGCACCAGGACCTCCAGAGTGCAGGAGGATTTCCCTCAATGGATCTGTTTCTGGTGACTCGAGCGCTGGCCCGAGGCCACATTTGCTTCTTGGGCTTGTGCTCACCATGGCTACCCTTGGGATGTGAGGCTAAATAAAACAGCAATGGCTGGATTTGTCATTGTCCTCCCATGCCAGAAGCTTGGTTATTAACCAGTAGTTAGGTATAACTGTGCTACCCTATCTCCAAATACCATGAAACCATACACTGCACGGGAAGTCCTCCTCTTTTCAAGTAGCATAGAGCTCTGCTCCAGCCTCCCTTCTCCCTTGGGGCTCTGCTAGGCATGCAAGGGGGGGCAAGAATCATGACCCAGAATCCTGACTTCCCAATTGCTACACAGGACCAAGGTGTGAAGCTGTTGGAATTCTATCCACCATTAATCTTGGGAGTAAGGGATCATACCTCATCAGAAACTTTGAACCGCTTCAGGAGTGCCACAAACTTCTGTTTGATGTTAGGTTGCTGTGGGACAAATTGCACAATAGTTCTCAAACAACATCACTCATAGTTAAGTCAACAGACAGTGCTGTGAGCATATCCTTGCAGGGAACCATACAGGGGAGAAAGGTGGGAGACACACTGAAAACCACCCTGGAAAGACAGGCCAGGGTACAACTGGGAGGAAGAGGCCTCCCCTGTCCCCAGGGCCTCCAACTGAGCCCTGACAACTTCCAAATTGCACTTCCAGCCCCGCCCCTGCTTGCCCTTCAGATCCAGGTATCAGCTGGTAACTGCTCTGAACGTTATGTGTTCAATCTTTCAGAATGGCACTTGTCCTCTTCTTGCATTGCCATTCCAATTAGCGACATCAACAACCTGCACTAATTACAGAGCTGCACCTGGAATCTCCCCACTGCTGCCCTGTCCCATGCTGGCTAACTCTTGTCCCTCTTGCCTTTAACACTACTTCCTTTGCGGGGCCTTTCTCCTTGAATCTCTCTGGGGTCACTGCAATGGCCTTCTCCCTACCCAGCCAGTGTCCAGTCTTGTTACTAGACAGTCTGGTGGTCTTTCAAGAGGCAAAACTGATGATGTTACCCCAGCTTAGCAGTCTCACTGCCCCCTCTTTTCTCAAGAACAAAGTTTAGAAGTCAGGCCAGAAAGTGTCCAAGGGCTAACCTCACCCATTCAAGCCCTCACCCCTAGCTGAGTGGAAACACATGGCTTACTCTTAGAAAAAACTGTATGTGGCTTTACTGGGCCTTACAAAGGGGATCTTCTACCTTGAACAAAATCTTTCCCTAAATCTACTTGGTGAAGTTTTTGTCTTCGAAAGCCATTCTCTTGACATCTCGTCTTCTGAGCCACTGTCAGAGGAGGCCACTTTCCCTTTAGAGTCATCCCTGTCCCAATGCAGAGCCCCACCTTAAGGCACCTGTCCTACTGTATCATGTGTCATCATTACTTCCTGAGAGAAGTCTGCATCTCTAGACAATGGAGCTCTCTGATGGAGCTGCCCAGCCTTCCTGACCTGTTTCCTACTCCTCTCTCTTGGCTCCAGGCTTAGTTTGTGGCCATAGTATTTCTTGCCTGAATGCCAGACTCCCATTGAAGATGGAAACAACTGACTTGCAAATATGACTGATGAGCCTTCCAGAGTGAGTGGAAAAGGCAGGTGCAGCAGGGAAGAAACTAGAATTCATAGCAACAGAGAATATAAGACAGTTAGCATGGCAAGTGCATGATTAGTGACTGGGACAATGTGCTCTTGGTCTGGAGAGAAAAATGTATGTGGACAGGAGAAACAAAGTAAAGGACAATTGCTAAATGTTCAGAAACACAACTAGAAAGTACCTGCAGCTTCCAGAAACACCTTTGAATGGGGGGATATTGATAAGGTCTCTGATCTCTGGTCCTATACTGGGTAACACTATGGAGACCACAGGAAGAGGGGACTTAGGAAGCCCAGGGAGACAACCTTTGGGAAGAAAACTGGACCTCCTTATGGTCTCTTTTCTGAGCAAGAAAGAGAACAGCTCAGGAGGAGTCATAGCAGGGAGGGTCTAACAGCTGTTCTCCTGTCTCAGAGTGCAATGAAGGGAGGGGTTGGGGCTCTGAGGACATACTTTCTCTAGGGGGCTTAAATACCCAGAGACAAGGGAGGAGCAGGTTCTCCTGCTTCCTATTTGGTATGAAGAAGAAATCAAGGTCATGGTCTTAGGGCTTATACAGAAGCTCTGTATAAGCTTCTGATGGCTGACCACAGAGGTCACTGTTTCAAAGTGGGATGCTAGGCTCATTTACCTTCAGAAGAGCTGGCCTATATTTCATCCCAAAGAAGATGAAAACCTTGCTGTCAGGATGTTAGTCCCTAGGCTGCCTCTGCACTCAAAGAACCAGGATGCCTCTAAGGAGATGAAACTGGACTTTCTCTCCTGGAAGCTCTTGGTACTTCTGATCTCCTTCACACTAGCACAGAGGCTCCAGGATCAGTCAGAGGTCACAGAGGAGTTCAGTTTTTGGCCTTTCAGTCCAGAACTCTAATTTCAGAAAAATTAGGGACTCCTGAGGATTAGGCAGGAGACATAATCCAAACGCCAGGGTTATGGATCCACTAAGGTAGGAATTATATCTAATGTAATTAAACCTTATCAAACTCAAAAGTTTCTGCAGTTTCCAAGTATTAGCTTATTATTTCTGGGTAAGTTCAACAAATGATTAAGATTAAAAACAGTGATACTGGGCTGGGTATGGTGGGTCATGCCTATAATCCCAGCTATGGAGGTACAGGTAGGAGAACTGTAGTCTGAGGTAGCTAGGGCAAAAAGTGCAAAGCCCTATATGAAAAATAACTAAAGCCAAAAAAGGCTGGAGGTGTTGTTCAAGTGGCAGAGCACCTGCCTGGCAAGCACAAGTTCCCCAGTTCTGCAATAAACAAAACAAAACAAACAAAAAAGAACTACCCTCCATCCCCAAACCCATAGCAATACTCTAAGAGAGAGCTGAATTTCTCTCTGTAGTGGAAGCAATCACCTGGAGAGGGGAGGTAGGGCTTTTGAGGTGTCCTACTCTCTAAGAAGTATTTTATCTGCTACAAATTCTGGAACAGGGTTCTCAGCCTTCCTTCTATCCTGCATAACCTGTAGCCTATAACACTGTCTGTGATAGTAGCTCCCTACAACACTGATTCTTAATGGATAGTGTCAGAATCTTTTTTTTTTTTGCTATACTGGGGCTCGAATTCAGGGTTGACACCTTGAGCCACTCCACCATCCCTTTTTTGTGATGAGGTTTTTTCGAGATAGGGTCTTGTGAACCATTTGCCAGGGCTGGCTTTGAATCTCAATCCTCCTGATCTGTGCCTCCTGTGTAGCTAGGATTATAGATGTGAGCCACTGGTGCCTGGCTTGGTGTCAGAATCCTAAAGGGATGAGGAGTAGACAGATTTTCAAAAGCTCCCCTAGGTCTAAATGTACCACTCCCCTCGATGCTAGACTGAGAATCTCAGCTATACCATGCCCCAGACCTGGGCAGCTCACCCTCGTGATGGCTGATGTTGAGGTCAGTTTTCGCCGGGTCTTCTTCACTTTCCGCAAATCCTCATCTTCGTAGAACAGGTCCTGAGCAGGCGGGGGACAGAATGAGGCTGGGAAATCCCAGAAGCTTCTCAGACACTAAGGGAAGGACTGTGAGAAATTACCTGCCCATGTAAGGGATCGTCACTGCCCTCCTGTTCTGATGAGAAGCTCTCCTCCTCTTCCTCAGAGTAGTTGTCAATATCAGGAGAACGATCTGGAATAGATACCCTGGTAAGAGAGCCTCCCCTGGAAAGGTCTGACCTGAGAGATTTCAAGGGACAGGAGTCAATACAACTGGGCTGGAAGGAAAGGCTACTACCATGGTTGGGGACACATTTTATTTCTCGGTATCTCCCAGCTTCTCTTGCCTGGAAACAATTCAGGCTTGTCCTGCTCAGCTTTTTTCAGGATGGAGATCAGGGTACAGGCTCCCTTGTCTTACACAGGGTCTGCAGACACTGTATATATCTTACCAGACAGCTTGGACTTGATTCCTTCATGGTCAATAGGCTGGCTGGACAGGGAGTAGATCTTTATTTCTGCCACAGGCACAGAGACGTCCTTTACATTGCTGTGCAGGCCAAGCACCAGAGCACCTTCATTGGGGTGTTGCATCACCTACAAGCAAAGAGTGGAGTGTAAATGACTTACCAGACAGGTCACAAGGTAGCCATTTTCATAAATCCAGGTAAATATGCAAACCAATGGCAATAGCATTCTGCTAATACTTCTCACTTCCAAATCCACGCAACTGTCTTCCTACAGCCTTCAAGGTCTTAATTTAAAACTATCTCTAAGCCAGGTATTGGGGTAGGTTCCTGAAGTCCCAACTACTTGGGAGGCTGAGGCAGGAGTATCACTTGAGTCCAGAAGTATGAGGTTACCCTGGACAACATAGTGAGATCTCCATCTCAAATACAAGAGAAAAATAAACTACTGTAGACATGCCAGATGCTGGTCAGGCCATGCATTTAAAGATAATCTAGGCCTGAGATATGAAATGATTTGCTAATCTCTAGGATTTCACATTAGCTTAAGTCCTTCACAGAGAAACTAGTTCTCAAGGCTTACAGATGGGTGGTCAGTTGTCCTGGTGATGAGGGAAGAAGAACTATAGCACGTGGAGAAATGGGGGACTTGACACAACCATTAATTCACTCCCCCCAGTACATGGCACAGTCCTGAAGAGGACAGAAGGATGGGCTGGAACTACCTTACATATTTTACTAGAACTTAACTAAAATACAGAAATAATTTTAAAAACGAACTTGTTCTCTTCCTTGTTATCAGGACCAAGAGGATTTGCCTGGCACATAGGAAAATAAGTAGGCAGACATATTGAGAAAAACAGGAGCCTGGCTTCTTGCTGTTGAAGAAGGGAAATAGAAATATGGAAAGAAAAAGCAAGGATAAGTCCTATAGTGCTGGGCTGGAACGGCAGTCAGGGCTGGACAGACATGGATACAGCCATGGAAATATGTGCACATGTATATGTGCTTCCCACCTCTCTGTGCTGCAAGGGATCAGAAGCAATGAAACCTGCATGGGAGGGATAAGTACCCAGATCTTGTTTTTTTAATGTTCTCCAATAAAAAACCCCAGGGCTCCTCAGAGAAAGATCAGCTCATTCTAGGGCTGGGTCAGGCAAAGTGCAAGATGAACCTGGGCTATTTTGTATCAGAAAGTAAGAAGACATGTAAAAAATGAAGGCTCTTATCAAAAAGGACATAGGTAACTGCTTGACAGGGCTCCCAATGTCCAAATGTGAGACAACTTGAGTGTCAAAATAAACAAATGATAGCAGATAAAACCCCATCAAATAAAAGAGGAACCCACAGGTCTACAGCTGATACAAACAAGTGAATCAATGGATAAGTGGGTGAGGAGGGAACACTCTTAGAACAGAAAGCCAACTGACAAATATAAGAATAATGGGGGGATTAGAAATTCAGTTTGGCAACCATCAAAGTAATGACCAATTCAGGCAAAAATCATTAACAGATGCTAAAACTGGTTGGTGAAAAGATAGCTATAGTCTCAAAATATCATGACATAAAGCATTTTTTTTGTCATTAGTGAGAACAAAATACTTACTAACTTTGTATGGAAAATCCTTGTAGACACCATCTTAACAGGAAGAAATCAGCATCATGTGCAGCCCTTGCTGTGCTGGGAAGAACAATGCTACTTGGGTGGTAATTCTGCCAAATGTGCACAAACTGAACCTAATTTCAAGATAACAGCAGGCAAACTCAGACTGAGGATCATTTAATAAAGTAACCAGCCTGCACTCTAAAAAACCACCAAGGTCAGAAAAGACAAAGAAAATCTGGGACTGCTGCATACTGAAGGAGACTAAAGAGACGTGACAACAAAACATGACCAAACTTCTAGATTAGGTCCTGGGTCCCTTGAGAAATTCACCGAGACACTCAGCATCAACTGACTGGGGACTGTAGGTTACACTGAGCTCTTACATCGTGCCAATGTCATGATTGTGATGGTGGCATGGAGCTTAGCTTAGAGAGTATTCTCATGCATAGGGAATAAAAATAGTTCAGTATTACTATTGAATGGCTCAGAAAATAATATCCATAACACACATTGAGAGTAATAAGGCAGCTATGATAATATGTTAACAAGTGAAGAATGTGGGTGGATCTGGCATACAGGCGTTCTTTATACTATTCTTGTAACTTTTCCATAAACTTAATGTGGTGATTGGCAGGAGCATCAGCTACTTGGCTGGATAGGCCCAGGAGCCTGGGCCTAGCAAGACCACATTTTAAAAAGAAAAAAAAGTTAAACAAAAAACTTTTTGTGAAGGAGAGAGTAACTGATAAACAGAGGTATATCCTGTATTTCCAACAAAATAGCTAACCTGTAAGGTAAAATTAAACACCTGTCCACAGGCAAAAATCATCCGTGGGAGGTGAACAGCTGAGCCAGTGCCTCTCCTGGCTTCTGACAGAGGCTAGCAGCTTCTGCCTGTGTTCCACTCACCTCTGCCATGTTGATGAGTCCCACAGCCAAGGTCTTATAGCCCAAGATGGTCCGATTTTTGTACCGCTTCCTCCTTTGCAACATTATCTGCAGCTTGTTGGCATCTCGCTTAAGGAAATGAGGGTACTAAGGAGCAAAACAGTCCAATGGTTTACTAAGCAACTGGAGCCTTGGGAGTTTGGGTCCTGCTTCAGTTTCTCCCATCTGTTAAAAGGGGTTGGTCGGGGTGATAAAGAAGCGCCAGAGGGGCTAGTTCTGCTTGATGCCTGGATTCCCCCCACAGCTTGGGGTCCACAGACACTAAGAAACTTCCTTTTTTCTTGCCATTTGGTCAGGTGTTTTCTCTGTGCATTTCAACATGGACTACTGGGATTATGATGAGAGAGACATGCTGGAAGGAATGAGGAGAGGGGAAGGATGGAGATCACAGGAGAATGAATGGGGTACATCCTGCTGAGGCATGTGTAATCTGAAAGGAGAGAGTATGTTGTCTGTGGGGGGCAAAGTAGGTGACTACAGAATCATCTAAGACCTGAGCAAAGGCACATGTCTTGAATCCTACCTGGCCCCACCACCCCTACCCCAACTGGCTCAGAGACTGCTCTGGCCCTCCAGGTAACTTTTGTTCTTTCCTGCCCAAGATGGGCTCTGCTGCTCTTGGAGGAAACTGTTTCATTTGATGACTATTTGGGGAATAGACATTTGCCCATAGTGTGTTACAGACTAGGATTTGGGAAGATTCTTACCTGAAGGGAGAAAGTTAATTGGAGCTCTGTTTCTACTAGGCCACTAGCTGGAAGGATGATCTCGTTGGAGCGTAGAATCCTTTTTGACCCCTACAACCAACAAAAACATGTCAAAACTGTGTCACTAAAAATCAGGTTAAAAAAAGGAAAAAGACATTTGATGCTTGCAAACAACTTCTAAATGCTACAAACATTCTCATTGGTCTTAAGTGTACTTATTTAATCTTACCTGACAGCACAGGTAAGATTTTACATGCATTTGGCTGCTACAGGGAGGTTTTCACAGAAAAATGGCTGATCATATTGAATTCTCCCAGCACTCCTGGGGAAGCACAGGCAGCATTGGCACCCCAGGATAAGTACGATTTCCAACCCTGTTTACCTCAGCTTCCCTTTCTTTCCTTCTAATGAATTCTTCAGCCACACTACCTTATCTTTGGGCCTGTTCACCTGCTGTTTCTCTTCTTAGTTTAGATATACTTGTCCAAGAACCTTCATTAGCTTTGCCTGTTCTAAAATTTCACATAAATTCAGTTCAATCACACACTACATACAACGTGACTGAGCCTACTTTGCCCATGTGTGTAGGGTTCACTCCTTGTGTGCCTGAGTTGTTCTGTCTCTGAACGTACACACTTTCTTTATCCAGTCCTCTGATGCTGAACATCAGCATTTGGGGGATTTCTAGGTTTTAACTATTATGCATGTTTTGCTGTACTTCGGGTAAATACCTAGAAGCGGAATTGCTGGGTCTTGGCATAGAGGCATGATTAACTTTATGAGAAATTGTCGTGCTAGTTTCCAAAGTGTCCATGGCATTCTTCATCTCCAGCAGCAGCGTGAGAGCTCCAGCTGCTTTGTATCCACCACTGGCTGTGGCCAGTTCCTGACTCAGGATTCTAACAGGCATGTGCAGAATACCACTGTGGTTACAATTTTCATTTCCTTGACAACTACATATATATACATATATATATGTATACATTATATATGTATGATATATATATCATACATGTATTATTATATATATGTATGATATATATATATTATACATGTATATATTATATATATGTATGATATATATATATTATACATGTATATTCATTTATAAATCCATAATAATAAATTGTGGGGCTGAGGATGGAACTCAGGGCCCTGCACATACTAGGCAACCACTCTGCCACTGAGCTACACTTCCAGCATCAAACTGATAATGAATCCCTTTTCATCTGTGTGTTGCTTATCTATAAATCTCAATTTATCAAGTGCCCAGTGAAACTTCTTTGCTCCTTAGAAATATTGGGTTGTTTGTATTGTTCTTGAGTCATCAGTTTATTTATGTAAGTCATTTATCAGATATATGTATTGTAAAATTTTCTTGCCTACTGGAGTTTAAACTCAGGGTTTCACACTCACTCTACCACTTAAGCTATGCCCCCAAACCCTAATTTTCTTTTTTTTTGGCAGTTCTAGGGTTTAAACTCAGGGCTTTGTGCTTGCAAAGCAAGCACTTTACTGCTTGAGCCACGCCTTATTTCCTTAATGATATATTTTGATGAAGTGTTTATTTTTCATCAAGTCTACTTTATTATTTTTATTTTTTCTTTTATGGTTAATGCTGTCTAGGTCCTGTCTAAAGAATCTTTGCCTACTACAAGTTTTGAAGTACTGTAGCAAATATTCTGCTGTTTTTCTTTAGAAGTTTCATAATTTTAGTTTTTATATTTAGTTTTCTTATCCATTTCTAACTTTTGTTTAGATGAAAAACAGGTTTTTGTTTAATGCGCGAAGGATTTTTGTTTTTTTTAATTCTTCCCTCCCCCAGGATATTTTTTCTTAATATAACATTATACCAATTAAAATAATGAAGGTGATCTTACTTTGTTGGATAATGCCATTTAGAATTCCTTCTACTACAAATGAGAACCTTAATGCTGAGAGAATTTAAAATGTGGCTTGTAGACAAGTGAGTTTTTAAAAATTTTTTGGTGGGACTTGGGTTTGAACTCAGGGCTTCGTGCTTGCAAAGCTGGCTCTTTACAGCTTGAGCCATACCTCTAATCCATTTTGCTCTGGATATTTTGGAGATGGGGTCTTGTAAACTATTTGCCTGGTCTGGCCTTGAACTGAGATCCTTCTGATCTCAGCCTCCCAAGTAGCTAAGGTTACAAGTGTGAGCCACCATGCCTGGCAACAGTGGTTTTTAAGCAGGGGTGACATTGCCTGGTAGGCGTATCTGGAAAACCTAGAGATATTTTTGGTTGTTACAATTGAGTGGGTATACTCCTGGCATCTAGAGAGTGGAGGCCAAGATGTGGCTGAAGGTCAAATAGAATACATGACACCCCATTAGAGAGAGCAGTCTGGCCCCAATTGCCAACAGTGCCACAGTTGGGAAGCCCTGCTGTCCCTGAGACATGGGTCTCCCCAGAGACACTGCTTCCTGGATAGCCCTCTACAAGATGGCTGCTTCTCCCTCACAATTCACACACTACTGGGTCTGGTAGTAGGGAAGGAGTTCTTCTTGCTCTTCATTGCCAGTTCTGGAACATTCTGCCTTCTAATTTCCTAAAAACTCCATTGTGAATTGATGTCACTGGCTCAGTTCACCTTCTATTCCTTGTGGTTGCCATCATCTCTGCCTGCCAGTCCCTCTCACTCACTTTTTTTTGGGGGTGGGGGGAGGGTAGAAGTGGAGTTTGAGCTCAGGGTTTGCAAAGCAGGCACTCTACCACTTGAGGCACACCAACAGTCCGTTTTGCTCTGGTTATTTTGGAGATGGGGGTCTCATGTACTATTTTCCTTGGCTGGCCTCGAACTGTATGATTTCAGCCTCCCAAGGAGCTAGGCTTACAGGCAGGAGCCACTGGTGCCTGGCTTCTGGACGTAACTCCTTATGACTTCAATATATGCTCTTTCTATGGCCACTAAATCCCCTGACTTCCCTTTTGCACTCAGTCTTATCTCAGCACTCACCCAGACAACCATACGTCGACCTTTAGCTAGTACCAATCCCAATTCATGCCTCCCACTCTCTGATTGCCACTTTATCTTCCCAGATCATTTTTTCCAGTGTGTCAACAGTAATAATCTTTCAAACCCACTAGTACTTACTCCCTTTCCACCATTCCTCATGCCCTTCTTGTCCCTTCTCTTCCCTACCCAGCCTAAATGCTGCAGTCAACCTTACAAAAACACCCTGCACACTCCTAAGGCCTTGCTTTGCCAGGTTCATTTGGTAAATCACAACTGTGATTTTATTATTATTATCTTGTAGTGTTGAGTGTTAAAACCATGGCCTCACACATACCAGGCAACACTCTACCACTGAGCTAAGCTCCCAGCCCTTATAACTGTTTAAATTCCAACTGTACCCACTGAACACGCACAGAGAGAAGCACACTTAGCTAGCTGGTCTGACTTTAAATTACGACCCAAATCTTAAGTGGGCTATAATGCTGCCTGGTATCCATGCAGTAATGTCCATTTACGGCCTATCTGTTTCTAGAAAACACTTCATACCTTCCTGTTGCCCCTATACCTCCTATACCTTGTCCTCCTCTCACACTAAGCTTCTAACTTCAATTCCTCTTCACTGTGAATGCTAGAGTAGCTCCCACCTCATGAACCTGCTACTTGCACCTGTCCTCACACACATCCCTTCCCTCCTGTCACAGGCAATTTCCCCACTCAGGCACCAATCTCCTCTATTCTCACCTACTCAGACCCACTCAAGAGCCATTTTTTACTCTCTTATATAATCAACTTTCCTTCCCATTCTGGACTATTCTCATAAGCAAATGTGCTGTTACTTCTTTCATGTCAAAAAAGAGAAAAAAGAGCCCAAACCCTCTTGTCACTATAGGCCCCATAAGCTACCACCCACTACCATGTCCCTTCACAGCTGACTCCTCTTGTGTCCTCCCATTTCTCCTAATGCATTCCAGTAACCTTGTGCATTCCTGTCCCCTTGCTCCACCAATCTGCCACTGTCAGATGCAAACATCCCACTTTAGTGATTCTGATAGCCTGTCTGCATCTTTTTTTTTTTTTGCAGTACTAGGGCTTGAACTCAGGGCCTTCACCTTGAGTCACTCCACCAGCCCTATTTTTGTGAAGGGTTTTTCAAGATAAGAGTCTCAAGAACTACTTTCCTGAGCTGGCTTCAAACTGTGATCCTCCTGATCTCTGCCTACTGAGTAGCTAGGATTATAGGCGTGAGCCACTGGTGCCCGGCTGTCTGCATCATCATTTGCTGTTCCCACCAACATTCCTCCCTTTGGCTTCCACAACACCACAGGCTTGGGATTTTCCTCTGATCCTGGAGGTGCTCTTGCTTCTGACTTCCGGGCACTGGAAGGCCTGGGGTCTTGTCCTCAGTCCTGTTCTCTTTTCTGTATTTATTCCCTCCACTTTTGTTACCTCAGCCAATTTCATGGTGTTCAATATAAGGATGACTGCTCAAATTAGGTCTTTCCCTAGACCTCTCTCCTGAACTCCAAGCTTGTTTTTCTACTGTCTACTCAGCATCTCCTTGTGGGTGTTTGTTCAAACAGCATGGCAAACTGAATTTCAGATCTTACCCTCCAAATCTGTTTCATTCGTCTTCCTCTTCTCACTGAACAGTAATTCTACTCAGCACCACTCTTCATCTACTCCCTGAATTATCATCAGGGCCTATCATCTGGCCTTTCTCATTCCTTTTTTTCTAACATGGAACAATTGCGCTGTCCTCTTACTTCTCTATTCAAACCCTCCAATTCACATAGAACAAAAGCTGAAGGCCTTGCAGTGTTCTGCTCACTGCCCTACCACTTTCACTTTACCTCCTATTCCTTTTTCTTCTCTAGCCTCACTTAGCCTTCTCCCTCTTCCTCCTGATTCTGTCAGAGATGCTATCCTACACATGCCATCTGAGACATGCCAAAGCCAGACATGCCAGTCCCACACATGGCATACCCAGATGTGTCAGAGCTTTTCTTTTTTCTTTATTTTTTGGCAGTACTGGAGCTTGAATTCAGGAACTTGTACTTGCTAGGGAGGCGTTTTATCACTTGAGTCACGATACAACCTGTAGAGGGCTTTTCACT